TCAAATACAAACATGTCCATTTATTCACCTTTATCACAAAAGTCATTATAAATAGTCATCTTCAGAGGGAAAAAAAAAGTTTGCAGAGAATTACAACCAAAAAAAAAGTGAGAAAAAAATATTTATAGTTGAAATGAAGTTGTGTGTTTTGTTTTGTACCTAAAACCAATTCCAACCAAATACCCTGACATAGAAAAAAAAATAAAAAAAATACCCAATTCCAACCAAAAACCCTGACATAGAAAAAAAAAAAATAAATACCCAATTCCAACCAAATACCCTGACATAGAAAAAAAATACCCAATATAGAAAAAAAAAAACCCAATTCCAACCAAATACCCTGATATAGAAAAAAAAATACCCAAATTCCAACCAAAACCCTGATATAGAAAAAAAAAATACCCAATTCCAACCAAAACCCTGACATAGAAAAAAAAATACCCACATTCCCAACCAAAAAACCCTGACATAGAAAAAAAAATACCCAATTCCAACCAAAACCCTGACATAGAAAAAAAAAAAACCCAATTCCAACCAAAACCCTGACATAGAAAAAAAAATACCCAATTCCAACCAAAACCCTGACATAGAAAAAAAAAAAAATACCCAATTCCAACCAAAACCCTGACATAGAAAAAAAAAAAATACCCAATTCCAACCAAAAAAAAAATACCCAATGAACATAGAAAAAAAAAAATACCCAATTCCAACCAAAACCCTGACATAGAAAAAAAAACCAAATACCCAATTCCAACCAACAAAACCCTGACATAACCAAAACCCCCGAAAAAAAAAAATACCCAATTCCAACCAAAACCCTGACATAGAAAAAAAATACCAAATTGCAACCAAAACCCTGAGATCCAAATTGCAACCAAAACCCTGACATAGAAAAAAAAAATACCCAATTCCAACCCAAAACCCTGACATAGAAAAAAAAATACCCAATTCCAACCAAAAACCCTGACATAGAAAAAAAAATACCCAATTCCAACCAAAACCCTGACATAGAAAAAAAAATACCCAATTCCAACCAAAACCCTGACATAGAAAAAAAATGTACTGACCTATTTTAGGCTGTTGGTTGGAGGTGATAAAGAAATCTCCTCACCTCCAGATGTCCCAAAATAATTCTGAAACTAAAAAAAAAACAAAAAAGGAAGTGATCCGGAAAACATTTAATAAATACCATATTAAGTAACTCGTTTGCTGAAATTTTACCCATTTTTGTGGATACAATGTAGCTATTTAGGTGATATAAAATAAAATGAAGGAACTCTGAAGGTTGCTTTGATGAGCTTTAATGTTTTCTGAGTGTTTTTTGGGTGTTCTGAGTAATGGGAAAAACAGCACAAAAAATTTTGAAGAGATGGAAAGTTTTTTTTGTGTTTTTTTTTATCTTCCTTTTTTTTTTCTAGCGTGCTTTATTGTTATTCGGATTTGTTTTACAGAAACAAATAAGTGAAAAAACTCACAAAACTGATTGCGCTGTCACATTAAATGAGTCTTTTTTCCTTTTTCTCCGTTTCCTAAGAAAAAAAAAAAATCAAATAACACAATTTACAAAAATATAAATATTTAAAAAAAACACAAAAAGGAAGAATATTTCAATTTTTTTTGGTTTTTTTTTCCCCGATTCATATGTGATCACGCTTCATGGCAAAAAAAAAATTCAAAAATTTTAGCCGAATTTTGGCCGATGTTGAATTTTGCCAGGAAATTTGTTGCTCCTCCTCACTGGGGACCAATCTGGGTTTTCCAGATTTTTCTGACCGCAAAGAAGGACGCTTTGGCCAAAGACCAGTCGGGATAATCACCTGAAAAGGTGAATTGTTCCTTCGGAAGAATCCCTCCACGCTTTTCCTGCTTTGGAAACGCAAATTCATCTTTGACTATTGATGAGAGATTCACACGGTCACATTAGCGTCAGGAATTTTTTCATGGAATTTCTTTTTTTTCATTCCAATAAAATCTCCAACTGGGGAACGCAATGCGTTGTTACATAGTTAGTCTGGCTGAAAAAAAGACAAAAGTCCATCCAGTTCAAAAAAAAAAAAAGGACAATAAAATATTATACTATATCCTGTATATACAATCCGATACCAGAGGTGATCTAGAGGATAATATAATAAAAAATATGAACAAAAAGTCAAATAAAATAATAAAAATAACAGAAAAAAGTGTTACATAGTTAGTCTGGCTGAAAAAAGACAAAAGTCCATCCAGTTTAAAAAAAAAAAAAAAAAAAAAGGACAATAAAATATTATACTATATCCTGTATATACAATCCGATACCAGAGGTGATCTAGAGGATAATATAATAAAAAATATGAACAAAAAGTAAAATAAAAATAACAGAAAAAAAGAGATACATAGTTAGTCTGGCTGAAAAAAGACGAAAGTCCATCCAGTTCAAAAAAAAAAAAAAAAAAAAAAAAAAAAAGGACAATAAAATATTATACTATATCCTGTACATACAATCCGATACCAGAGGTGATCTAGAGGATAATATAATAAAAAATATGAACAAAAAGTAAAATAAAAATAACAGAAAAAAAGAGATACATAGTTAGTCTGGCTGAAAAAAGACAAAAGTCCATCCAGTTTAAAAAAAAAAAAAAAAAAAAAAAGGACAATAAAATATTATACTATATCCTGTACATACAATCCGATACCAGAGGTGATCTAGAGGATAATATAATAAAAAATATGAACAAAAGTAAAATAAAATAATAAAAATAACAGAAAAAAAGAGATACATAGTTAGTCCGGCTGCAAAAAAAAAGTCCATTCAGTTCAATCATTAAAAAAAAAAAGAAAGAAAGTGCGTAAGCGTCTGGCCCATAAGAGGGCGATGAGGTCAGAGCGCCTTCTAGTGGAAGTACTGAACACTACAACTCACTCAATGACCCAAAGCCGTGCCGGTCTTGTAGATCGGAGACTCTCAGGAAATGGTTTCCATCTGTAAAAGGAAAAATCGATCAGATCTCATGGCGATGTGGGTCAGGCAGAACGAATCTCTTCTTGGTCTCCCGAATTCTTCATAGATACATAGCAATCCCTCATGTTCCTTCAACAATTACGATCGACTATATTAGTGGCAGCACAAAGGCTGAGTGGTTAGCAATTCCTCCTGGCAGCACTCAGGTCCTTGGTTCAAATCCACCTGCATGGAGTTTGCATGTTCTCCCTGTGCCTGCGTGGGTTTCCTCCGGGTACTCCGGTTTCCTCCCACACTCCAAAGACATGCTGGGAGGTTAATTGGCTCCTGTCTATCTTGTCCCTAGTATGTGTATGTATGAATGTGAGTTCGGGACCTTAGATTGTACGCTCCTCGGAGGCGGGGACTGATGGGAATGTACAATATATATGTAAAGCGTGGAGTACAGTGATGGCGCCATATAAGTAACTGAAATACCAGGGGCGGACTGACCATTTGGAAACTCACTGCCCGAGGGCCCGGGGTCAGTAGGGGGCCCCATGAGATGCCCCCGGTACCTTTTTCATAGGCTTTTTTGAGTTTGGGCAAGGACACAGGGGCCCCATGATCCCCTATTGCCCGGGGGCCCCATGAGTTGTCAGTCCACCCCTGTGAAATACATAATATTAGTCCTTTTCATCATGATTTATATTTTGCTAAAACTAAACGGTTATGAGTGTAAAAGCCGGACTGATAGTCCCCGGCCTCCCCCCCCCCCCCCGGGGCCCACCCACCTTGGCCATACAATCTGATTGTACAATCCACTGTAGACCAACCAACAACTAGGGGCTCTGAGGGTTCCCCGAGACCGTCCCGTTCATGTTTTATTTGCAGTGGTTGTCCACTTAGCGGTTCGAATGTTCACAAATCTGGAAAAGTTGCGTTCCCTTTAATCACCCAATCGGGTGCGAGGAAAATTTAGAAACGTGATTTTTGCTTGCACACGATTGGTTGAAGTGAACACATCATCACCTGAAACCGAATAAATATTCAGTGTGAAAAGTGGACATTGGAGGAGATTTACTAAATCCGGAGGGTGCAGAATTTGGTGCGGCTCTCCATGGCGGCCAATCAGCTTCCACGTTTTTCACTGAACAAGCTGAAGGTAGAAGCTGATTGGCCGTCACGCACAGCGGCTCCGGATACTGAGCGCTCCAGTCCTGGTAAATCTCCAATATCGTCCACTCTTTCAGTGAACCTCCCCCCACATTGATCCAATCAGAGGTCTTGTGGTCCGTGGTTGTTGGTGGATCTGGAAGGTTCTACAAGGTGAAGCTCGGGGCCGCCTCTGGAAGGCAGAATTTCCGATGAACTTCCAGGAACTTCCAGATATAGAAAAATGGAAATCTTTTACGGAGGAACTGAAATCATTCCACAGACGGTGAAGATATCGGTGAAATCTGAACGTATCTTTCTGTTTTATTCCTCCAGAACACCAAGAAGATCCATCATCTGTCCAGACTCCTCCACAAGTCCGCCGTGAAAGGTGAGAAAATATTCCCATCCAGAAGAAGGTTCCGGGTGTGAGTCCGAAACCAGGGGCGGACTGACCATTTGGAAAATCGGGCGCTGCCCAAGGGCCCAGGGTCAGTAGGGGGCCCCATGAGATGCCCCTGGTACCTTTTTCATAGGTTTTTTTGAGTTTGGGCAAGGACACAGGGGCCCCATGATCCCCTATTGCCCGGGGGCCCCATGAGTTGTCAGTCCGCCCCTGGTCCAGACAGCACTGGTCTGCCCACTACAACCAATCAGATTGGAGGGGGGCACAAACGCTGATTGGTCACTTTGGCAGCCACCAGATGCCTGCTCCGGGTTCTTCGCTCCGGTTTTCTCTGGTTTTTCTCTTGGGTGTGGATTCACCAGAAGAGGAAGAGTCGTCTCTGACAATAAGTGGTCTATGTGTCTTCCAGTGGTTGTCGGGAGCCAAGCAGAGGAGTCGGTCACCAACAGCTTTGCATCCTTTATCCATGGGATTCGGCCCGTGCACCTCTCTGATATAGTGCGCCACAGGAGTAAGCGCATGATCCTGGACAGCATTGGCGTTGGACTAATCGGAAGCACAACACACGTCTTCAACATCATCCTGAAATATTGTCAGGTATGTCCTCGTGTGCAATATCCCCCCCTCCCCCATCCTGATAGGCTGAGAAGTCTAAAACCAGAAACACAATGACCTATAGAAAGGCAGAATGTTGATCCACACTGGGAGTGATATGGGGCCAACGATTTATAGGCCATTGTAATGTCTTCTGATGAAGGGAGGTGTGAAACACGTCGGTTAGATTGGCTGAACGTTTGCTATGAATAATAACCATTCGTAGGAAAATCCTGAGTCGTGGGGCTCTCATCCTTCTATATAGATCCCCATTCTCAGGGAGCCCCTCCATCACATTTCTCTGGGGTTCTCGGAACACCCCCATCCTCCAAGGGTTGGAATTGATCCCCATTCTCAGGGAGCCCCTCCATGACATTTCTCTGGGGTTCTCGGAACACCCCAATCCTCCAAGGGTTGGAATTGATCCCCATTCTCATGGAACCCCTCCATCACATTTCTCTGGGGTTCCAGGAACACCCCCATCCTCCAAGGGTTTGAATTGATCCCCATTCTCAGGGAGCCCCTCCACCACATTTCTCTGGGGTTCCCGGAATACGCCCCAATCCTCCAAGGGTTGGAATTGATCCCCATTCTCAGGGAGCCCCTCCACCACATTTCTCTGGGGTTCCAGGAATACCCCAATCCTCCAAGGGTTGGAATTGATCCCCATTCTCAGGGAGCCCCTCCATCACATTTCTCTGGGGTTCCAGGAACACCCCATCCTCCAAGGGTTTGAATTGATCCCCATTCTCAGGGAGCCCCTCCATCACATTTCTCTGGGGTTCCAGGAATGCCCCAATCTCCAAGGGTTGGAATTGATCCCCATTCTCAGGGAGCCCCTCCACCACATTTCTCTGGGGTTCCAGGAACACCCAATCCTCCAAGGGTTGGAATTGATCCCCATTCTCAGGGAGCCCCTCCATCACATTTCTCTGGGGTTCCAGGAACACCCCAATCCTCCAAGGGTTGGAATTGATCCCCATTCTCAGGGATTCGCCCCTCCATCACATTTCTCTGGGGTTCCAGGAACGCCCCAATCCTCCAAGGGTTGAATTGATCCCCATTCTCAGGGAGCCCCTCCACCACATTTCTCTGGGGTTCCAGGAACACCCCAATCCTCCAAGGGTTGGAATTGATCCCCATTCTCAGGGAGCCCCCTCACATTTCACATTTCTCTGGGTTCCAGGGTTGGACACCCCCAGGGAGCCCCTCCATCACATTTCTCTGGGGTTCCAGGAACACCCCCATCCTCCAAGGGTTGGAATTGATCCCCATTTCTCAGGGATCCCCATTCTCAGGGAGCCCCTCCATCACATTTCTCTCTGGGGTTCCAGGAACACCCCAATCCTCCAAGGGTTGGAATTGATCCCCATTCTCAGGGAGCCCCTCCATCACATTTCTCTGGGGTTCCAGGAACACCCCAATCCTCCAAGGGTTGGAATTGATCCCCATTCATCAGGGAACACCCCAATCCTCCAAGGGTTGGAATTGATCCCCTCCATCACATTTCTCTGGGGTTCCAGGAACACCCCCAATCCTCCAAGGGTTGGAATTGATCCCCATTCTCAGGGATTCCCTCCATCACATTTCTCTGGGGTTCCAGGAACACCCCCATCCTCCAAGGGTTTGGAATTGATCCCCATTATCAGGGAGCCCCTCCACCACATTTCTCTGGGGTTCCAGGAACACCCCAATCCTCCAAGGGTTGGAATTGATCCCCATTCTCAGGGAGCCCCTCCATTACATTTCTCTGGGGTTCCAGGAACACCCCAATTCTCCAAGGGTTGGAATTGATCCCCATTCTCAGGGAGCCCCTCCATCACATTTCTCTGGGGTTCCAGAACACCCCAATTCCTCCAAGGGTTGGAATTGATCCCCATTCTCATGGAACCCCTCCATCACATTTCTCTGGGGTTCCAGGAACACCCCATCCTCCAAGGGTTGGAATTGATCCCCATTCTCAGGGAGCCCCTCCATCATATTTCTCTGGGGTTCCAGGAACACCCCAATCCTCCAAGGGTTTGAATTGATCCCCATTCTCAGGGAGCCCCTCCACCACATTTCTCTGGGGTTCCAGGAACACCCCCAATCCTCCAAGGGTTGGAATTGATCCCCATTCTCAGGGAACCCCTCCATCACATTTCTCTGGGGTTCCAGGAACACCCCCATCCTCCAAGGGTTTGAATTGATCCCCATTCTCAGGGAGCCCCTCCATGACATTTCTCTGGGGTTCCAGGAACCCCCCAATCCTCCAAGGGTTGGAATTGATCCCCATTCTCAGGGAGCCCCTCCATGACATTTCTCTGGGGTTCCAGGAACACCCCAATCCTCCAAGGGTTGGAATTTATCCCCATTCTCAGGGAGCCCCTCCATCACATTTCTCTGGGGTTCCAGGAACCCCCCAATCCTCCAAGGGTTTGAATTGATCCCCATTCTCAGGGAGCCCCTCCACCACATTTCTCTGGGGTTCCCAGAACACCCCAATCCTCCAAGGGTTGGAATTGATCCCCATTCTCAGGGAGCCCCTCCATCACATTTCTCTGGGGATCCAGGAGCACCTCAATCCTCCAAGGGTTGGAATTGATCCCCATTCTTAGGGAGCCCCTCCACCACATTTCTCTGGGGTTCCCAGAACACCCCAATCCTCCAAGGGTTGGAATTGATCCCCATTCTCAGGGAGCCCCTCCACCACATTTCTCTGGGGTTCCAGGAACACCCCAATCCTCCAAGGGTTTGAATTGATCCCCATTCTCAGGGAGCCCCTCCATCACATTTCTCTGGGGTTCCCGGAACACCCCAATCCTCCAAGGGTTGGAATTGATCCCCATTCTCAGGGAGCCCCTCCATCACATTTCTCTGGGGTTCCAGGAACACCCCAATCCTCCAAGGGTTGGAATTGATCCCCATTCTCAGGGAGCCCCTCCACCACATTTATTACCCAACTTCCAGGTGGAAGTCCCTATTTTCCGGTGATTGTTGCCAATGTCGGGTCTTTTGGAGAATATAGATTTTACAGTTTCCATGATATTTGTGTTCAGTTTCCTATCTGCAGAAGTAAACGGTTCCCAGGAAATATTCAGCCTTCATTTTGGATTTTTTTTTTCAGGATCTTCATTTCTCAGCATACGGAAATTCTTCCCATTGCTCAGTTTATGGACAGAAAGGCTTGAAGCTCTCCCCCACCCTGGCCGCGTATGCCAATGGAGTAGCTGTAAGTATAGCTGACCACCAATAATAAACTCTGGAGACCAGAAGACAGTAGAAGGGGTCTAAGTCTGTCTTTGTTGGTTCAGGTTCACTCCATGGATTTCGATGACACGTGGCACCCCGCCACCCACCCATCTGGTGCCGTCCTCCCGGCTCTGTTGGCATTGACACAAATGCTTTCCCAAGAAAGGCGAGTCACTGGAGAGGAGCTTCTGATGGCTTTCAATGTTGGAATCGAGATTCAAGGAAGACTGATGGGCTTTTCCAAGGAAGCAAATAACATTCCTAAAAAGTGAGTTGTTACAAATGTCATTTATAATTGTATTCCTCGCTGTTCTGTTACATGAAAATATATCGACGCATCTACACCACGGCATTGTCTTAGCCTGGATATTTTCCAACAAAATTAGTCACCGAAGACTCATTGTTATGTCACAATTACACTGTATGTCAGAAAAGACCATCACAGCTATAGACATCCCATTCCACCATCATCCATTCTTCTGGGAAGGCGTTCCATAAGATTTTGGAGGGTGTCTGTGGGAATTTGTCCCATTTGTGAGGTCAGGTACTGATGTTGTATGAGAAGACCTGACTTACCATCAACACTCCAATTTATCCCAAAGGTGTTCAGTAGGTTGAGGTCAGGGCTCTGTACAGGACACTCAAGTTCCTCCATGACCTCACACCTACTGAACACTTTTGGGGCGAGGAGACCTCATGCCAGACATGTTCTGTAGGGTTGAGATCAGGTACTGATGTTGTATGAAAAGACCTGGCTCACCATCGGGATTGAAATACACTCCAAAGGTGTTCAGTTAGGTTGAGGTCAGGGCTCTGTACAAGCCACTCCAGTTCCTCCATCCATCACACCTATGTGATCCTGCTGAACATCCCTTTCCAAAACTATAACTATTAATATGAAGCTGTCCCTTTCCCTCTATAAAGGATAAAGGTTCTAAATGTCCCCCTCCTCCTATGGCCGTTAATATTGAGTTGTCCCCACTTTGTGTCTATGCCATCCTCCACTCTTCAGATTCTGATATTGGATGAGAAGACTTGGCTCACCATCGGCATTCCAATTCATCCCAAAGGTGTTCAGTATGGAGAGGTCAGGGCTCTGTGCAGGACACTGGAGTTCCTCCATTACCTCACCCCTACTGAACACCATTGGGGTGAGGAGACCTCATGCCAGACGTGTTCCGTAGGGCTGAGGGCAAGTACTGATGTTAGGTGAGAAGACCTGGCTCACCATCCACACTCCACCACAAAGGTGTTCAGTAGGGAGAGGTCAGGGCTCTGTGCAGGACACTGGAGTTCCTCCATGACCTCACCCCTACTGAACACCATTGGGGTGAGGAGACCTCATGACAGACGTGTTCCATAGGGTTGAGGGCAGGTACTGATGTTGGGTAAGAAGACATTATACCAAAAATAGGGTTGAGGTCAGGGCTCTGTACAGGACACTGGAGTTCCTCTACACAAAACTGGTCATCCATGTCTTTATGGAGCTGGCTTTGAACACGGGGGGCAGTCATGGGGGCACAGAAAAGGGTCTTCACCAAACTGGTCCTCCATGTCTTTATGGAGCTGGCTTTGTACACAGGGGACAGTCATGGGGGAACAGAAAAGGGTCTTCACCAAACTGGTTCATCCATGTCTTTATGGAGCTGGCTTTGTACACGGGGGAAAGTCATGGGGGGACAGAAAAGGGTCTTCACCAAACTGGTCGTCCATGTCTGTATGGAGCTGGCTTTGTACACGGGGGAAAGTCATGAGGGGACAGAAAAGGGTCTTCACCAAACTGGTCGTCCATGTCTTTATGGAGCTGGCTTTGTACACTGGGGAAAGTCATGAGGCAATAGAATAGAATAGAATAGAATAAAATAGAAGGTCCTTCTCTAGACTGTTATTTCATACACCCCAAAGAAGAAACAAAACCTCAGTACTTCATTGATTTTTTTTTTAGCTTGTAATATTTACTATAAATGTATAATAATAGAAATGTTTTGTTCATTACAGATTTCATCCACCTTCTGTAGTTGGAACCATGGGAAGTGCTGCTGCCTCTGCCAAGCTTCTGTCATTAGATAAGGAGCAATGCTTGCACGCCCTGGCGATTGCTGCCTCTCTTGCTGGTGCCCCAATGGCAAATGCTGCCACTCTGGCCAAGCCTTTACACATCGGCAATGCTACGAGGTTGGGCCTGGAAGCTGCTATTCTGGCCGCTAAAGGAATGGAAGCCAATTCCCTCATATTGGACGATGTTCCAGGCTGCGCTGGTTTTAGTGCATTTTATGGTGACTACCAACCTAAGCCACTGTCATTTCCTGGAAAACACTATGAATTCCTTCTAGCGAAGCAAGACATTGCTTTTAAGTCTTTCCCGGCACACCTGGGGATGCACTGGATAGCCGATGCTGCAGTCTCGGTCAGAAATAGATTCAGGGAGCACTATGGCTTTTTTGACCCATCTGCAATCCAGTCTATAGTTCTCAGAATCCCGATCTCCAAATACATCAATAGGCCTTATCCAGATTCAGAACACCAGGCCCGCCACTCCTTCCAGTTCAACGCCTGCACGGCTCTCCTGGATGGCGAAGTTAACATCGCCTCCTTCGATGATGATAACATATTTCGAAAAGACCTTCAGCATCTTCTGAGCAAGGTGGTGGTGGAGCATCCAAAGGACAATGAGGCCAACTTTGACAAGATGTACGGTGAAGTGGCTTTGCTGCTGAAGAACGGGGATGTGATGGTCGATAAATGTGACACTTTCTATGGCCACTGGAGGAAACCCCTGAGCAGAGAGTCCCTGCTGAAGAAATTTGTGACCAACGCCAGAAATGTCCTACAGGATGACCAGATCCAAGGGGTCATACAGATGGTGGAGGACCTGGAGAGTGTCACAGACAGTTCACAGCTCCCCCTGCTGCTTCAGTAATACTTTGTGGTTTGTGTGTGAAAATCCAGAAAAGACACTCATTACAAATGAAACAGCCAAATTGTTTGTATGTTTTAGATGGAGTAGGGAAGGGTTGAATCTCTGTCGGGTTTTCTTTTTAACATGAGTGTCTCTATGGAGGAATTGCCTTTCCTGTAGACATAACAGAAAATGAGATAAAATCTCTCCCCTCTGTTCATTTTCTGGTGACAATTCATAATTTTGAATTTCTCCCTCATTTACAGTCCCAGTGACAATGGTCACCAGTATGAGTGGAGAGGGAGAATTTCCATAGCAGGGACCCAGGCAGCAATAAAAACCGGGACAGAGGCTCTAACCCTTTCATGCTCCACCCAAAACTTTCTAAAAAAAATTTGGTTCTGTAACACTTTAGGATCAAAAACATCCAAAGCTTCATTATGGTTTAAAAATGGTGAACACGTCTGCTGTTGGCAACAAATTCTAAAGCTGGACTTTGGGATTGTATTTCGTGATTTGATGTTAGTCACATTGACACATTCACTTTTCTAGTTAATTAATAATTAATGAACTATCAATATTTAAAAATTGCCAATAATGGGAAACAGAATGGTAAGCGTGGTGTAGAGCCACAATTTCAATGGGAAGTCTTATGTGTATATGATGTATACTGGAATGTGTATATTTATATCTAATTATATATTTATAGATTCCTGGTCAATCGTTGGAAATCTTTATTCTTAATTTATTGTTGATGGGTGAGGATTGGGTTCACGGTGGGTGAGGATTGGGTTCATGGTGGGTGAACATTGGGTTCACGGTGGGTGAGGGATTGGGTTCACGGTGGGTGAGGATTGGGTTCAGGGTGGGTGAAGATTGGGTTCACGGTGGGTGAGGATTGGGTTCAGGGTGGGTGAGGATTGGGTTCAGGATGGGTGAGGATTGGGTTCAGGATGGGTGAGAATTGGGTTTAGGGTGGGTGAGGATTGGGTTCAGGGTGGGTGAGGATTGGGTTCACGGTGGGTTAGAATTCGGTTCACAATGGGTGAGGATTGGGTTCATGGTGGATAAGAATTGGGTTCACAGTGGGTGAGGATTGGGTTCATGATAGGTGAGGATTGGGTTCATGGTGTGTGAGGATTGGGTTCACAATGGGTGAGGATTGGGTTCATGGTGGGTAAGGATTAGGTTCATAGTGGGTGAGGACTGGCTTTATGGTGGGTGAGGACTGACTTCATGGTGGGCAAGGATTGGGTTCATGGTGGGTGAGGATTCTGTTCATGGTGGGTGAGGACTGGCTTCATGGTGGACAAGGATTGGGCTCATGATGGGTGAGGATTAGGTTAATTGGTGGACAAGGATTGGGTTCACGGTTGGTAAGGATTTTGTTCATGGTGGGTGAGGACTGGCGTTATGGTGGACAAGGATTGGGTTCATGGTGGGTGAGGATTGGGTTCATGGTGGGTGAGGACTGGCTTTATGGTGGACAAGGATTGGGTTCATGTTGGGTGAGGACTGGCTTTATGGTGGACAAGGATTGGGTTCATGGTGGGCGAGGATTGGGTTCATGGTGGGTGAGGACTGGCTTTATGGTGGACAAGGATTGGGTTCATGGTGGGCGAGGATTGGGTTCATGGTGGGTGAGGACTGGCTTTATGGTGGACAAGGATTGGGTTCATGGTGGGTGAGGACTGGCTTTATGGTGGACAAGGATTGGGTTCATGGTGGGCGAGGATTGGGTTCATGGTGGGTGAGGATTGGGTTCATGGTGGGTGAGGACTGGCTTTATGGTGGGCGAGGATATGGTTCAGCCATCTTTGGGCATACAGATTGTAAAGTCTTTTTAAATCTTTATTACTATGAAATCTTCATTCGAATGATTCAGCTACATTTCAGGAACTGCTCTTTATTAATGTACAGAAATCAGTCAGCGATCTGCGATGATGTTTATTTCTTCCCAATTTATTAAAAATACATTTATTAAATCAACGTCTTGGTTATTCCTGTAGTTTTAGTGGACCTGACCCACAATCTGTCATATACTGTACAATTATGCTGAGTCCTGTGTCCGTGTGACCCTTCCAGGTACTTATTCCCTCTCACAGAGATCACAGGACTCCCCCTGACAATGCCTCCATCTGCTTTTCTCTGCGGAAGGACGGAGCCATGTTTGTTCAGGAATCATCTGGGGGTCACCATTGCCTCAGTCAGTGACATGTAACAGAAATATTTCTTGGGATTTCCTCAACCAACTAAACTCCATCTCTGGTTGGAGAGGATGGATGACTCCCGGGGTTGGTTCTGAGTGGCGTCCGCTCCCCCTTACCTCATGCCCAACGCTGCTGCTGTATGACCTTCTCACATGCTGTCTCTGGATCTGCTGTACTTTTCTTTTTTTAACTTGAGTTTTATTAAAAAAAAAAAATCTCAGCAAAAATGACAGGATTTCAAACATCACACTGCAAATAAAAAGATATACTGATTGCCAGAATACAAAAACGTCGAACCTACAAAGTGCTGAAATATAATACTGAGAATGAATATAAAGGCCATTTGTCAGTTTGTTTCACCAACTACAACAGGAGGAAACAGAGCTTTGGAGGTCACAACCCAACAGAAACAACCAGCATTCCGCCTGTCATGTCCGTATGTGGTCCAGAGGATGAACCTTCAGATATACAAGGATCAGTACAGAACACGAACCCTAGGGCTCCTTTACACCCCATAACCCTAGAAAAATGGGTTCTATAGGAACCCCAAGGTAATGGGTTAGAGTTCTATAGGAACCCCAAGGTAATGGGTTAGAGTTCTATAGGAGCCCCAAGGTAATGGGTTAGAGTTCTATAGGAGCCCTAGGGTAATGGGTTAGAGTTCTATAGGAGCCCCAAGGTAATGGGTTAGAGTTCTATAGGAGCCCCAAGGTAATGGGTTAGAGTTCTATAGGAGCCCCAAGGTAATGGGTTAGAGTTCTATAGGAACCCTAGGGTAATGGGTTAGAGTTCTATCAGAACCCCAAGGTAATGGGTTAGAGTTCTATAGGAACCCTAGAGAAATGGGTTAGAGTTCTGTAGGAACCCCAAGGTAATGGATTAGAGTTCTATAGGAGCCCCAAGGTAATGGGTTAGAGTTCTATAGGAACCCTAGAGAAATGTGTTAGAGTTCTGTAGGAACCCCAAGGTAATGGGTTAGAGTTCTATCGGAACCCCAAGGTAATGGGTTAAGGCGTTCTATAGGAAGCCTAGGGTAATGGGTTAGAGTTCTATAGGAAGCCTAGGGTAATGGGTTAGAGTTCTATCGGAACCCCAAGGTAATGGGTTAGAGTTCTATCGGAACCCCAAGGTAATGGGTTAAGGCCTTCTATAGGAACCCCAGGGTAATGGGTTAGAGTTCTATAGGAACCCTAGGGTAATGGGTAAGAGTTCTATAGGAACCCTAGGGTAATGGGTTGGAGTTCTATAGGAACCCTAGGGTAATGGGTTGCAGTTCTATAGGAGCCCTAGGGTAATGGGTTGGAGTTCTATAGGAACCCTAGGGTAATGGGCTAAGGAGTATATAAGCAGCCGTAAGAGTCTAGCCCTAAAATAGGGGGATCCCTGGAAGTTGTGTCCTGCTCTGTAGTTTCGCGATCCCCAGTTGTGTCCTGCTTTATAGTTGGGGGATCCCCAGAAGTTGTGTCCTGCTCTGTAGTTGTGCGATTCCCCAGTTGTGTCCTGTTCTGTAGTTGAGGATCCCCGAAAGCCGTGTCCTGCTCTGTAGTTGAGGATCCCCGGATGTTGTGTCCTGCTCCGTAGTTGGTGGATCCCCAGAAGTTGTGTCCTGCTCTGTAGTTGGGGGGATCCCCAGAAGTTGTGTCCTGTTCTGTAGTTGGGGTAACCCACTTTATTAGGTTTCGATTTGCTTGGTATGTGTTGTGGTTTTGCTGGACTGTGTTCATGTGATGGTCATGTGCCCTATTCGCTGTTTTAGGTGTATGGAAATTCTGAGGACTCTTCCTACACATTAACATCCAGGCCATATTCATCTTATTCTGAAGAAAGTCAAGCTTTCCTTTCAGCTGAATCCCTCTATTAGTTGTATCCTTCTGTATAACACAGCTGAACACAAAGTAGAAGAGTCCCTCTATTAGCTGTCTCAGGGGAACACATGATGGTTTGGCACCTTCAGGATTCTTTTCATAAACCGTTCTCTACCAATAGGTCCAATCAGGGTGAAGGAAGTCAGGTGTGGATTAAGGTGGGGCCTGGGTGTGGAAGCTGGCTGGTACTGATTGGTCTACGGTGTGATTGATACAGGGCGTGGCCCTGCCTTCTACTCTCTGATCACTCAGATCCGTACAATTCGTTCTAATAAAGCCGCTCACATAAACCCAAAGCCGTCAGCAGAGTAATCTCAATTTATTTTCAGTTTCATTACTCAAAATATTTTCAGAATATGTGGACATGATTAAGGCAAATGGAATAAAAATTAAATTAAAACAAATAACATCATGAAAAATAATTAAAGCTATAGTACTCCTTATATACCTGAAAAGTGAAATAAATATGCATTACAAACAAATGCCACAACTCCATGTGGTGATAAAGAATACCAATGGCCTCGTATAGAAGTGTCTCAGTGTGGACACCTGACCAACACACTGACCTACATGACCCAAAGTATGTGAACCCCTCCCCTCCAGCTGATGGTAATCCTCCATCATACAAAGACATTGGAGACAATTGTGCTCTTCCAGCCTTGTGGTAACAGTTTGGTGAAGACCCTTTTCTTTCCCCCCATGACTGTCCCCCGTGTAGAAAGTCAGCTCCATAAAGACATGGATGACCAGTTTGGTGAAGACCCTTTTCTGTCCCCCCATGACTGTCCCCAGTGTACAAAGCCAGCTCCATAAAGACATGGAGGACCAGTTTGGTGAAGACCCTTTTCCGTCCCCCATGACTGTCCCCCGTGTACAAAGCCAGATCCATAAAGACATGGAGGACCAGTTTGGTGAAGACCCTTTTCTGTCCCTCCATGACTGTCCCCCGTGTACAAAGCCAGCTCCATAAAGACATGGAGGACCAGTTTGGTGAAGACCCTTTTCTGTTCCCCCATGACTGTCCCCCATGTACAATGCCAGCTCAATAAAGACATGGAGGACCAGTTTGGTGAAGACCCTTTTCTGTCCCCCCATGACTGTCCCCCGTGTAGAAAGTCAGCTCCATAAAGACATGGATGACCAGTTTGGTGAAGACCCTTTTCTGTCCCCCCCATGACTGTCCCCCGTGTACAAAGCCAGCTCCATAAAGACACAGATGACCAGTTTGGTGTAGAGCAGTGTTTCTCAACTCCAGTCCTCATGGACCCCCAACAGGTCATGTTTTCAGGATTTCCCTCAGATGAAACAGCTGTGGTAATTACTAAGGCAGTGAAACTGATCAAATCACCTGTGCAAAATAATGGAAATCCTGAAAACATGACCTGATTGGGGGTCCATGAGGACTGGAGTTGAGAAACACTGGTGTAGAGGAACTCCAGTGTCCTGCACAAAGCCCTGACCTCAACCCTACTTTTGGAAGACCTTTGGCATAAGGCCTTCTCATGCATCATCTGTACCTGCCCTTAACCCTACCAAACATCTTCTGGATGAAGTTTTTTTATCCCAAAGGTGGTCATGGAGGAACCTCAGTGTCCTGTTCAGAGCCTTGACCTCAACCCTACTGAACACCTTTGGGATGAATTGGAACGGGGATGATGAGTCAGGTCTTCTCATCCAACATCAGTACCTGACCTCACAAATTCCCACAGACACCCTCCAAAATCTTGTAGGAAGCCTTCTCAAAAGAGTGTAGGATGGTAGAGACACAAAGTGGGGGGAACTCCGTATTAATAGTCATAGGGGGGGCCATGATTCTGGAATGGGATATCAGACAACCTCATATAGGTGTGATGGTCAGGGGTTCACAGACTTTGGCTGTATAGTGTAGAAGGGTATTATTGACCTGCAGAAAAAATAAAATCGCTAAATGAACTGTGTAGCTGGTGCCCTCCGGTTCCATTACCAACCTTCCCCCAACATCCGCCCTGATCCACACCGAAGCTCTAGTACGTTCGGGTATGGGGCACTATGTGAATGTTCTCCCTGCCCCCATGTAGATCTCTGTGCCTGAGAAGCACAGGGGGGGGGGGGGGGGTGTGCAGCATTTGCATAGTGCCTGTGTTGGGTCTCAGTAAGGAATGGGGGTTCAGATAGGTGCGGTGAACGTAAGAAAAGACGATGCAGGGACCCTTATACAGCATGGGGGCCAGTGCATTTTCACATGCACCGCTCAATTCTACCCTCATACTTCAACACAGTGCACACAATAAAAGGGGTGACGGGTTTCCAGGGGTGACAAGGAATTCTTATTTCAAACATTTTGCACCCCTAAGAGCAGCTCACTCTCCAATAACGAGATGGGATTGATGGGTACATTGAATGCACTGTGCTGCTTCCCTTCGGCAGCCCGGCTGTAAATAGCCCGTCCAATACAATGACAGCTCAGTCACAAGGATGGTGGCAGAGAAGCCTGGGGCCCATTCACATCATGTGACACTGCGGGGAACGACCATGCATGATACGTCTTCTGTTCTCCTGCTTGTAGTGTCGGCATCTGCAGTACAACGCCCACCATTGTGGTGAACTTCGCTGATAAAAACACGGCAGGTGCGTTTTTCATGCATTGGGGGGAACCACTCATCATAAATAGACTGCAATGATACATAGAGGTGTGAATGGGTGGGCTGCATTGTGAAGAGGCTGTGAAGGGGGGGAAGGGGTGACATTAGTGGACAACATTAACTGTCTTCCTTTAAAGCCCAACTCAGAGCCCCGTTACAGCCGGCAAACGTGCGTCTTCCTCAGATGCAGGAACTCCCCTCTGTCCTTCAATTCAGGAAGTTTTCATTTTGGGGCTCCTGCTGTACTTCATGGACGCTCCGGAATTGTTGCTGAGCTCACATACCCCGGCGCTGATGCTATGTCTCCGCCCCCTCTGCTCTAGGCCAAACATATGGCCCCAGGCTCTGTTTTTGTAACTGGCCTGCAGCAGAGGGGGGCGGAGCCATGGCTGGGAGCTGAGAAACCTGTGGCCAGGAAGTACAAAAGGAGCTCCACCAATTCGGCATGTAAACTGATTTATGGGACATAAGAGAATTCCTGCAGGACAGCCATGTGCTTCTGAGGAACGTTTGGCTGCTGGAAAGCTGAGACGGTAAGTCGTATTCGGAGTTGGGCTGCAAAATCCATTTTGAACATTTAGCATCGAGACAAAACCTAAATACACAGAAGGACAGACGGACATTGGATACTGCAGAGTCCCCCATAAATATCTCCAATAAATAAAATCAACCCAGAAGGTCATTTCCTGATCACTAGACTGCAATGAAGGACTGACCGCATGGCACAGACCAGTTCTGACCAGTCACAAGGGCGTTACCAGTATGGAAACTGGACAGAAGTGGAAGTCTCTCCCCCAAACAACCAATGAGAGGCAGTAGAAAACAGAGGCATCTGATTGGACATGGTGGGTTTTCCTTCACAGAGTCATGGTGGGTGGAGATGTCCTGACCATCCCTGGAAGTATGGAAGGTGTTGCAAAGGAAAGTTTCTCGGATGCTGTGAGGTGGAAGTCCGGCAACATTGGGGTTTGCATGGAGTGGGAAGGATGAAAAGCCATGCAGGTTTCAGAGATCTCCCCTCACTTCCATGCTATGGTGTCTGCAAGCACATAGACCACAAGAAAATCCTAATGTGAAGCAGAAGACAAAGGCTCTCCACTTTATCAAACCTGTCTACAACCAGCCCTGAGGGAGGGGACACAGACCTCCAATATGTGTCGGCTCTCCGGGAACGTTCACTAAACATTCCAACTTCAAATAGAATACCGCAACATAGAACATTCTACTGGAGACCTTCTCAGTGTCCCTGCCCATACAGCATGTCAGCAGAAACCTTGTCATTGTGTCTAGGGTCCCTACGTGGACATGATCTGAGTGGAAACCTTCTCACTGTCCCTGTCTAGTGTCCCTGTGTGTACAGCATCTGAGCAGAGACTTTGGCATTGTGTACTGTGTCCCTGCATGGACATGATCTTGGTGGAGACCTTCTTGTTTTGTCTAGTGTCCCTGCATGGACTTGATCTGGGTGGAGACCTTCTCATTGCATCTAGTGTCCCTGCATGGACATGATCTGGGTGGAGACCTTCTCATTGCATCTAGTGTCCCTGCACGGACATGATCTGGGTGGAGACCTTCTCATTGCATGTAGTGTCCCTGCATGGACATGATCTGGGTGGAGACCTTCTCATTGCATGTAGTTTCCCTGCATGGACATGATCTGGGTGGAGACCTTCCGACTGTGCCCAGTGAACATGATTTGGGTGGAGACCTTCTCATTGCATCTAGTGTCCCTACCTGGACACGATCTGGGTGGAGACCTTCCGACTGTGTCTAGTGATCCTGCATGGACATGATCTGGGTGGAGACCTTCTCATTGTGTCCAGTGGACATGATCTGGGTGGAGACCTTCTCATTGTGTCTAGTATTCCTGCATGGACATGACCTGGGTGGAGACTTTTCTGATTGTGTCCAGTGTCCCTGCCTGGACATGATCTGGGTGGAGACCTTCTCATTGTGTCCAGTGGACATGATCTGGGTGGAGACCTTCTCATTGTGTCTAGTATCCCTGCATGGACATGACCTGGGTGGAGACTTTTCTGATTGTGTCCAGTGTCCCTGCATGGACATGATCTGGGTGAAGGCCTTCTCATTGTGTCCAGTGGACATGATCTGGGTGGAGACCTTCTCATTGTGTCCAGTGGACATCTGGGTGGAGACCTTCTCATTGTGTCCAGTGGACATGATCTGGGTGGAGACCTTCTCATTGTGGTCTAGTATCCCTGCATGGACATGACCTGGGTGGAGACTTTTCTGATTGTGTCCAGTGTCCCTGCATGGACATGATCTGGGTGGAGCCTTCTCATTGTGTCCCAGTGGACATGATCTGGGTGGAGACCTTCTCATTGTGTCTAGTATCCCTGCATGGACATGACCTGGGTGGAGACTTTTCTGATTGTGTCGAGTGTCCCTGCATGGACATGATCTGGGTGAAAGGCCTTCTCATTGTGTCCAGTGGACATGATCTGGGTGGAGACCTTCTCATTGTGTCCAGTGTCCCTCGTTGTATAGAATTTGGTATCAGCCTTGAGCCCAGACCTTCTGATTGCCCTCAGGTGTCACACATGGTGGTGACTGTGGAACACTAGTGACATGGAAGAATGTTGAGGGACATCTGCCCCAATTTTATGGGGAATAAAGCAAAGAATAAGGCAAATCATAGGAAGGAGGAAGAACGGCCAGCTACTTCCACCCTTAAGTGCAATGTTCTATTAATGGATCAGCTATCTTAGGCAGTAAGGCACATGAAGCATGTCGGTGGATTTCAGCATCATCACTCATGAGAACATGGCTGTGATGTGGTTCTGCATTGTACTCATCACCTACAGAAGGCTCATTGGTGCATTGTTACTATGAGGACTATCATTGGCCAGGGACCCTGGCTCTTAGGTAGCTCTCTGTGACCCCAGGAATCCTTTGGTGTGAGGTCACAGGAAGGTGTCCTCCTCCCCTTTCAGCTCCTCCATGAGTAGAGTGTGTTTGTCCGGCTCATTGAGCGGAACGTTCTGTTGGGAATGTTTGTCGGACAGGAAGGAGTTCAGAGACGCGCGGCTGTAGTTCACAAAGCGGTCTAACAGGCTAAGTTTCGGGGAGCTCCTCCGATTCTCCGAGATCCCGATGTGAACACTGATCTCTGACAATGACTTCTGCCTCAGCTGACCTCCGGCCTGGACCTCCAGCTTCTCCCGACTTGGCTTCCGATACCTGTGAAGACACAACGCCGTTCTATTAGAGAACATTCCCTGATGTACCGGCTATTACATGGCGGACATACGGGGGGGGGGGGGGGGGGGTTGGGGTGAACTATAGTCTGGGGCGGACATACAGAAAAAGGGGGGGGGGGTTGGGGGGAGGGGGGTTGTATGTGAACTATGGTCAGGACTCTTACATGGCAGACATAGAGGGGGGGGGGGGGGGGTGGTATGTGAACTATAGTCTGGACTATTACATGGCGGACATAGAGGGGGGGGGGGGGGGTTGTATGTGAACTATAGTCTGGACTATTACATGGCGGACATGGGGGGGGGGGGGGGTTGTATGTGAACTATAGTCTGGACTATTACATGGCGGACATGGAGGGGGGGGGGGGGGGGTTGTATGTGAACTATGGTCAGGACTATTACATGGCGGACATGGGGGGGGGGGTGTATGTGAACTATAGTCTGGACTATTACATGGCGGACATAGAGGGGGGGTTGTATGTGAACTATGGTCAGGACTCTTGCATGGCGGACATGGAGGGGGGGAGTTGTGGTGGGGGAGGGGTTATAGAGGCTTCTTTGTGTTTATTATAGTCAGGCCTAAGAACCAGAATGAAATCTATGTTCTATCGGATCTTCTCTTCGGTTCCTCGGCGTTCGGCTTCATTCCTTCCCTCGCTTCCACTTCATCTCCACCTTTCCAATTTTCTCTCTTCTACCATTCTCTATCCCTCTCCCCTCTATATCCTTGCCCGCCCATCCCCCTCCTTCCCTGTTTTCCCCCTCCCGCTCATGATCTCCAGCCACAAAGGCCCAATCATCACACGACAAACCCCAGGACACCGAAGACATCATGAAATCTGTCACCTGTAGGACCTCAGTATGTCTGAGCATTACTCCGTGCTCCGTTGCCATGCTCCGTGCTCCTTGTCGTGCTCCGTGCTCCTTGTCGTGCTCCGTGCTCCTTGTCGTGCTCCTTGTCGTGCTCCGTGCTCCTTGTCGTGCTCCTTGTCGCGCTCCTTGTCATGCTCCGCGCTCCTTGTCATGCTCCTTGTCATGCTCCGTGCTCCTTGTCATGCTCCGTGCCATGCTCCGTGCTCCTTGTCATGCTCCGTGCTCCTTGTTATGCTCCGTGCTCCTTGTCATGCTCCGTGCCATGCTCCGTGCTCCTTGTCATGCTCCGTGCCATGCTCCCTGCTCCTTGTCATGCTCCGTGCCATGTTCTGTACATTTATAATAAAAATTAAATATTCTGTCATTTCAGTTCCATCCAGCAAGTGGCGCTCCAGGCTCTCTGCACATCTATCAGACTCCATGTGACCTGCATTGCGGGAAGAAGTCCATCTACTTTTCCTAGAAGCCCGTGTCATGGGTGTGTCCGAACCGCATGATGATGACATGAAGAATCTTCTGATACTGCTACGGAGACACACATTTAGATGCCACGATTTGGGTTCTTATAGAAGCGTCCTCTCCATATAGACCCGTCCTCTCCACATGGACGCCACGAGCCGGGTTCCTATAAAGGCGTCCTCTCCATATAGACGCCACGAGCCGGGTTCCTATAGAGGCGTCCTTCCATATAGACGCCACGAGCCGGGTTCCAATAAAGGCGTCCTCTCCACACAGAGATGCCACGAGCCGGGTTCCTATAGAGGCGTCCTCTCCATATAGATGCCGAGCCGGGTTCCTATAGAGGCGTCCTTTCCACAGACGCCACGAGCCGGGTTCCTATTGAGGCGTTCTCTCCATATAGACCGTCCTCTCCACATAGATGCCACGAGCCGGGTTCCTATTGAGGCGTTCTCTCCATATAGACCCGTCCTCTCCACATAGATGCCACGAGCCGGGTTCCTATTGAGGCGTTCTCTCCATATAGACCCGTTCCTCTCCACATAGATGCCACGAGCCGGGTTCCTATAGAGGCGTCCTCTCCATATAGACCCGTCCTCTCCACATAGATGCCACGAGCCAGGTTCCTATAGAGGCGTCCTTTCCACAGACGCCACGAGCCGGGTTCCTATTGAGGCGTTCTCTCCACTTAGAATCGCCACGAGCCGGGTTCCTATAGAGGCGTCCTCTCCACATAGATGCCACGAGCCGGGTTCCTATAGAGGCGTCCTCTCCACACAGATTCCACGAGCCGGGTTCCTATGGAGGTGTCCTCTCCATATAGACGCCACGAGCCGGGTTCCTATAGAGGCGTCCTCTCCACATAGATGCCACGAGCCGGGGTTCCTATAGAGGCGTCCTCTCCATATAGACGCCACGAGCCGGGTTCCTATAGAGGCGTCCGTCTCCATATAGACCCGTCCTCTCCACACAGATGCCACGAGCCGGATTCCTATAGAGGCGTCCTTTCCACAGACGCCACGAGCCGGGTTCCTATAGAGGCGTCCTGTCCACAGACGCCACGAGCCGGGTTCCTATAGAGGCGTCCTTTTCCACAGACGCCACGAGCGGGTTCCTATAGAGGCGTCCTCTCCACATAGATGCCACGAGCCGGGTTCCTATAGAGGCGTCCTCTCCACATAGACGCCACGAGCCGGGTTCCTATAGAGGCGTCCTCTCCACATAGATGCCACGAGCCGGGTTCCTATGGAGGCGTCCTCTCCATATAAACGCCACGAGCCGGTTCCTATAGAGGCGTCCTCTCCACATAGATGCCACGAGCCGGGGGTTCCTATAGAGGCGTCCTCTCCACATAGATGCCACGAGCCGGGTTCCTATGGAGGCGTCCTCTCCATATAAACGCCACGAGCCGGGTTCCTATAGAGGCGTCCTCTCCACATAGATGCCACGAGCCAGGTTCCTATAGAGGCGTCCTCTCCACATAGATGCCACGAGCCGGGTTCCTATAGAGGCGTCCTCTCCATATAGACGCCACGAGCCGGGTTCCTATAGACCTGCCCTCTCCACACAGATGCCACGAGCCGGGTTCCTATGGAGGCGTCCTCTCCACATAGATGCCACGAGCCGGGTTCCTATAGAGGCGTCCTCTCCATATAGATGCCGAGCCGGGTTCCTATAGAGGCGTCCTTTCCACAGACGCCACGAGTCGGGTTCCTATAGAGGCGTCCTCTCCACATAGATGCCACGAGCCGGGTTCCTATAGAGGCGTCCTCTCCACACAGATGCCACGAGCCGGGTTCCTATGGAGGCGTCCTCTCCATATAGACGCCACGAGCCGGGTTTCCTATGGAGGCGTCCTCTCCACATAGATGCCACGAGCCGGGTTCCTATAGAGGCGTCCTCTCCACATAGATGCCACGAGCCGGGTTCCTATAGAGGCGTCCTCTCCATATAGACGCCACGAGCCGGGTTCCTATAGAGGCGTCCTCTCCATATAGACCCGTCCTCTCCACACAGATGCCACGAGCCGGGTTCCTATAGAGGCGTCCTGTCCACAGACGCCACGAGCCGGGTTCCTATAGAGGCGTCCTTTCCACAGACGCCACGAGCCGGGTTCCTATAGAGAGGCGTCCTCTCCACATAGATGCCACGAGCCGGGTTCCTATAGAGGCGTCCTCTCCACATAGACGCCACGAGCCGGGTTCCTATAGAGGCGTCCTCTCCACATAGATGCCCACGAGCCGGGTTCCTATGGAGGCGTCCTCTCCATATAAACGCCACGAGCCGGGTTCCTATAGAGGCGTCCTCTCCACATAGATGCCACGAGCCGGGTTCCTATAGAGGCGTCCTCTCCACATAGATGCCATGAGCCGGGTTCCTATAGAGGCGTCCTCTCCATATAGACGCCACGAGCCGGGTTCCTATGACCCGTCCTCTCCACACAGATGCCACGAGCCGGGTTCCTATGGAGGCGTCCTCTCCACATAGACGCCACGAGCCGGGGGTTCCTATAGAGGCATCCTCTCCACATAGACGCCACGAGCCGGGTTCCTATAGAGGCGTCCTCTCCATATAGATGCCACGAGCCGGGTTCCTATAGAGGCGTCCTTTCCACAGACGCCACGAGCCGGGTTCCTATAGAGGCGTCCTCTCCACATAGATGCCACGAGCCGGGTTTCCTATAGAGGCGTCCTCTCCACACAGATGCCACGAGCCGGGTTCCTATGGAGGCGTCCTCTCCATATAGACGCCACGAGCCGGGTTCCTATGGAGGGTCCTCTCCACATAGATGCCACGAGCCGGGTTCCTATAGAGGCGTCCTCTCCATATAGACGCCACGAGCCGGGTTCCTATAGAGGCGTCCTCTCCATATAGACCCGTCCTCTCCACACAGATGCCACGAGCCGGGTTCCTATAGAGGCGTCCTTTCCACAGACGCCACGAGCCGGGTTCCTATAGAGGCGGTCCTTTCCACAGACGCCACGAGCCGGGTTCCTATAGAGGCGTCCTTTCCACAGATGCCACGAGCCGGGGTTCCTATAGAGGCGTCCTCTCCACATAGACGCCACGAGCCGGGTTCCTATAGAGGCGTCCTCTCCACATAGATGCCACGAGCCGGGTTCCTATAGAGGCGTCCTCTCCACACAGATGCCACGAGCCGGGTTCCTATGGAGGCGTCCTCTCCACATAGTGCACGAGCCGGGTTCCTATAGAGGCGTCCTCTCCACATAGATGCCACGAGCCGGGTTCCTATAGAGGCGTCCTCTCCACATAGATGCCACGAGCCGGGTTCCTATAGAGGCGTCCTCTCCATATAGACGCCACGAGCCGGGTTCCTATAGAGGCGTCCTCTCCATATAGATGCCACGAGCCGGGTTCCTATAGAGGCGTCCTCTCCACACAGACGCCACGAGCCGGGTTCCTATAGAGGCGTCCTCTCCACACAGACGCCACGAGCCGGGTTCCTATAGAGGCGTCCTCTCCACACAGACGCCACGAGCCGGGTCCTATAGAGGCGTCCTCTCCATATAGATGCCACGAGCCGGGTTCCTATAGAGGCGTCCTTTCCACAGACGCCACGAGCCGGGTTCCTATTGAGGCGTTCTCTCCACATAGATGCCACGAGCCGGGTTCCTATAGAGGCATCCTCTCCATACAGATGCCACGAGCCGGGTTCCTATGAGGCGTCCTCTCCATATAGACGCCACGAGCCGGGTTCCTATAGAGGCGTCCTCTCCACATAGATGCCACGAGCCGGGTTCCTATAGAGGCGTCCTCTCCACATAAATGCCACGAGCCGGGTTCCTATAGACGCGTCCTCTCCATATAGACGCCACGAGCCGGGTTCCTATGGAGGCGTCCTCTCCACATAGATGCCACGAGCCGGGTTCCTATAGAGGCGTCCTCTCCACATAGATGCCACGAGCCGGGTTCCTATAGAGGCGTCCTCTCCCACATAGATGCCACGAGCCGGGTTCCTATAGACGCGTCCTCTCCATATAGACGCCACGATTTGGGTTCTTCTAGAAGCGTCCTCAGCAGTCGGCAGCAGAGAGGAGGACAGAACTCCTCCTACAGATCCTGCACTTTTCTGTGCAGCCAGAGCACCCCCTCATCTCTGCCTCCCCTGGTCTCAGCATTCAGTAAACTCTGGCAGCTGACTCCAGCCCTCCTCTGGTCCTCCTCCAGACCCAGCACTTTCTGCTTCCTATCTTCTTCCCGGCAGCCATACAGGGTAAGTAGGGGCATTGTGCTGTGGGGGGAGGGGGTCTTACAGATACATCCAGCCCTTAGAGGGCAACAATAACGCTGATACGGCTCCATGACCTGACAACTGTGCTTTACACAACAACGCTGCAACCAGTTCAGCAGGATTGAAGTATGCAACTTTATTTACAATGACATCACAACTCCCATCTGTACACTGGAGAAGAGGGGTAACCCGTGCTGAGAGCTGCGCAAACACTTCGTACATTACACAGAACATACTATACACATACTATACCCACACCATACACAGAACATACTATACACATACTATACCCACACCATACCCACACCATACACAGAACATACTATACACATACTATACACATACTATACCCACACCATACACAGAACATACTATACACATACTATACCCACACCATACACAGAACATACTATACACATACTATACCCACACCATACACAGAACATACTATACACATACTATACACATACTATACCCACACCATACACAGAACATACTATACACATACTATACCCGTACTATACATATCACATACTATACACATACTATAACCCACACCATACACAGAACATACTATACACATACTATACATATCACATACTATACCCACACCATACACAGAACATACTATACACATACTATACTAACCCGTACTATACACATACTATACCCACACCATACACAGAACATACTATACACATACTATACATATCACATACTATACCCACACCATACACAGAACATACTATACCCCATACTATACATATCACATACTATACCCACACCATACACAGAACATACTATACATATACTATACATATCACATACTATACCCACACCATACACAGAACATACTATACACATACTATACATATACTATACATATCACATACTATACCCACACCATACACAGAACATACTATACACATACTATACATATCACATACTATACATATACTATACCACACCATACACAGAACATACTATACACATACTATACATATACTATACCCACACCATACACAGAACATACTATACAAACTATACCATACTATACACATACTATACCCACCCCATACACAGAACATACTATACCCACCCCATACTATACACATACTATACCCACCCCATACACAGAACATACTATACACACACATACTATACCCACCCCATACACAGAACATACTATACACATACTATACATACCACATACTATACACATACTATAGCCCACCCCATACACAGAACATACTATACACATACTATACCCACCCCATACAGAACATACCTAACTATACATATAACATACTACACACACATACTAATCACAGAAACTTACAGCTTCAGCAGCAAAGAGGAGAAGACGACAGAGACGGAGGAAGCTGCCATTGCTGCTGATCCCATCCAGGGCTGTAGAATCAAACCCACCGGCATGAAGACCCCTGGAAGAAAGGGGAGAGACCTTTATAGACCGACCCCCACAGCACACGTCTATAAGGGGGGTTAGAGCTGCAATCATCGTATGTTATACTGCCCGTGTCCCACTGCTGGGGTACCCCCCCCCCCCCCCCCCCCAAGATCTGATCTTGTAGGACACAAGCGGGGGAAGACCTGATGTTGTGGATGGGGGGGGGGGGGGGGGGGGGGGAGACCTGATGTTGTGGGATGGTGGGGGGGGGGGGGGGGGCCATTTGATTTGAGACCTGATGTTGTGGGATGGTGGGGGGGGGGGGGGGGAGATCTGATGTTGTGGGATGGTGGGGGGGAGATCTGATGTTGTGGGATGGAGGATGGGGGATGGGGGGGGGTGGAGAAGATCTGATGTTTTGGGATGGGGGGGGAGATCTGATGTTGTGGGGATGGGGGGGGGGTTTGCAGATCTGACTTTATGAGATGGGGGGGCATTTCTTATGTTGTGGGACACAAGAGGGGGGCAGATCTGATTTCATAGGATGGGGGGGGGGGGTAGATCTGATTTTATAGGATGAGGGGGCCAGATCTGATGTTGTGGGACACAAGAGGGGGGCAGATATGATTTTATAGGATGGGGGGGGGGGGCAGTTCTGATGTGGGACACGAGGGGCGCAGGTCTGATTTTTATGGGCGGCGGGGGCGGGTCATAGGATGGGGGGGGGGCAGATCTGATTTTGGGACCCAAGAGGGGGGGCATGGATTTTATAGGGGGGGGGGGGGGGGCAGATCTGATGTTGTGGGGACACAAGAGGGGGGACAGGTCTGATTTTATAGGATGGGGGGGGGGGCAAGATCTGATGTTGTGGGACACAAGAGGGGGGGCATATCTGATTTTATAGGATGGGGGGGGGGGCAGATCTGATGTTGTGGGACACAAGAGGGGGGCAAGGAGGGGGGGCAGATCTGATGTTGTGGGACACAAGAGGGGGGCAGATCTGATTTTATAGGATGGGGGGGGGGGGGGGCAGATCTGATGTTGTGGTACACAAGAGGGGGGCAGGTCTGATTTTATAGGATGGGGGGGGGGGGGCAGATCTGATGTTGTGGTACACAAGAGGGGGGCAGATCTGATTCTATAGGATGGGGGGGGGGGCAGATATGATTTTATAGGATGGGGGGGGGGGGGGGGGGAGGCAAATCTGATGTTGTGGGACACAAGAGGATGGCAGATCTGAATAGGATGTGGGGGGGGGGGGGCAGATCTGATGTTGTGGTACACAAGAGGGGGGCAGGTCTGATTTTATAGGATGGGGGGGGGGTGAGGCAGATCTGATGTTGTGGGACGCAAGAGGGGGGCAGATCTCTGATTTTATAGGATGGGGGGGGGGGGGGGGGGGAGGCAGATCTGATTTTATAGGATGGGGGGGGGGGGGGCGTGAGGCAGATCTGATGTTGTGGGACACAAGAGGGAGGCAGATCTGATTTTATAGGATGGGGGGGGAGGGCAGATCTGATGTTGTGGGGCACAAGAGGGGGGCAAGATCTGATTTTATAGGATGGGGGGGGGGGGGGGGGGGGGGGGGGGGGGGGAGGCAGATCTGATTTTATAGGATGGGGGGGGGGGGGGGGGGGGGGGGGAGGGCAGATCTGATTTTGGGGCACAAGGAGGGGGGCAAGATCTGATTTTATAGGATGGGGGGGGAGGGCAGATCTGATGTTGTGGGGCACAAGAGGGGGGCAAGATCTGATTTTATAGGATGGGGGGAGGGCAGATCTGATGTTGTGGGGCACAAGAGGGGGGCAAGATCTGATTTTATAGGACTGGGGGGGGGCAGATCTGATGTTGCTGCCCACATATCTGTCTTCACATTACAGACACATCCGTGGATCCGTGGTATGTAGAGGAAGGGGGTGTGTGCTGCAATTATTGGACAATGTGACTTGAGGTGTCACAAGCCGTCCCTCACCCAGCCACGCCCCCCTGGTGTCATACCTGCAGCTATTGGAATGCCAACCAGGTTGTAGATGAGAGCGAAGACAAAGTTTATCCGGATTCTCTTCACGGTCTTCCGTGATAAGTCTATGCTGGCCACCACGTCCAACAGATCGTTCTGTATGGGGGGGGGGGAAGACACCTTATGTAAGAAACGTGGGGATACACCTGGGAGGATAGGGGAGACCTCCCGACAAACTCCTGGATTTAATGCTGGACTCGTACGTCCCCTGCAGGGGGCACCGAGAACGGAGCTCGGCACGTCTATGACCAGTGCTGACATCACACATACATAGAAGCAGCACAGCGTGGTTCATACATGGGTAGGTGGATGACATCATTTGGACTTACCCTGATCAGAACCACATCTGCCGCTTCAATGGCCACATCGGTGCCGGTCCCGATAGCAATCCCTACATTAGCCATGGCCAGAGCGGGGGAGTCATTAATCCCATCTCCCACCATGGCCACCCTCATCCCCTGGTCCTGGAGCTGCTTCACCTTGGCTACTTTATGAGACGGGAGGACCTCCGCAAAGACTTTGGTGATTCCGACCTTCGAGGAGAAGAAGAGACAAATCATTGCAAAGTGTTCTCTATTCTATCTGATGTTCGGTATGAAGCCCGGCCGGGGCTCAGAGAGGGAAGTACCTGGGCGGCGATGGTTTTCGCAGTCTTACTGTTGTCTCCAGTCATGAGGACCACATCCAGGCCCATCGTTCGAAGAGTATGAACAGCCAACGCTGCCTCGGGCTTTACAGCGTCTGCGATGGCAATTAACCCACAGAGAACCCCTGGAAATAAATATGTAGACCAGTGATAACCCCACAGAGAACCCCTGGAAATAACTATGTAGACCTGTGATAACCCCACAGAGAACCCCTGGAAATAAATATGTGACCAGTGATAACCCCACAGAGAACCCCTGGAAATAAATATGAAGACCAGTGATAACCCTACAGAGAACCCCTGGAAATAAATATGTAGACCAGTGATAACCCTACAGAGAACCCCTGGAAATAAATATGTAGACCAGTGATAACCCCACAGAGAACCCCCGGAAATAAATATGTAGACCAGTGATAACCCCACAGAGAACCCCCTGGAAATAAATATGTAGACCAGTGATAACCCACAGAGAACCCCTGGAAATAAATATGTAGACCAGTGATAACCCCACAGAGAACCCCTGGAAATAAATATGTAGATAACCCTACAGAGAACCCCCTGGAAATAAATATGTAGACCCCCTACAGAGAACCCCTGGAAATAAATATGTAGACCAGTGATAACCCCACAGAGAACCCCTGGAAATAAATATGTAGACCAGTGATAACCCCACAGAGAACCCCCGGAAATAAATATGTAGACCAGTGATAACCCCACAGAGAACCCCTGGAAATAAATATGTAGACCAGTGATAACCCCACAGAGAACCCCTGGAAATAAATATGTAGACCAGTGATAACCCCACAGAGAACCCCCGGAAATAAATATGTAGACCAGTGATAACCCCACAGAGAACCCCTGGAAATAAATATGTAGACCAGTGATAACCCCACAGAGAACCCCTGGAAATAAATATGTAGACCAGTGATAACCCCACAGAGAACCCCTGGAAATAAATATGTAGACCAGTGATAACCCCACAGAGAACCCCCGGAAATAAATATGTAGACCAGTGATAACCCCACAGAGAACCCCTGGAAATAAATATGTAGACCAGTGATAACCCCACAGAGAACCCCTGGAAATAAATATGTAGACCAGTGATAACCCCACAGAGAACCCCCGAAATAAATATGTAGACCAGTGATAAACCCACAGAGAACCCCTAAATAAATATGTAGACCAGTGATAACCCTACAGAGAACCCCTGGAAATAAATATGTAGACCAGTGATAACCCTACAGAGAACCCCTGGAAATAAATATGTAGACCAGTGATAACCCTACAGAGAACCCCCGGAAATAAATATGTAGACCAGTGATAACCCTACAGAGAACCCCCGGAAATAAATATGTAGACCAGTGATAACCCTACAGAGAACCCCCGGAAATAAATATGTAGACCAGTGATAACCCCACAGAGAACCCCTGGAAATAAATATGTAGACCAGTGATAACCCTACAGAGAACCCCTGAAATAAATATGTAGACCAGTGATAACCCCACAGAGAACCCCCGGAAATAAATATGTAGACCAGTGATAACCCCACAGAGAACCCCCGGAAATAAATATGTAGACCAGTGATAACCCCACAGAGAACCCCCGGAAATAAATATAGTAGACCAGTGATAACCCCACAGAGAACCCCCGGAAATAAATATGTAGACCAGTGATAACCCCACAGAGAACCCCCGGAAATAAATATGTAGACCAGTGATAACCCCACAGAGAACCCCCGGAAATAAATATGTAGACCAGTGATAACCCCACAGAGAACCCCAAGAAATAAATATGTAGACCAGTGATAACCCCACAGAGAACCCCCGGAAATAAATATGTAGACCAGTGATAACCCCACAGAGAACCCCCGGAAATAAATATGTAGACCAGTGATAACCCCACAGAGAACCCCCGGAAATAAATATGTAGACCAGTGATAACCCACAGAGAACCCCCGGAAATAAATATGTAGACCAGTGATAACCCTACACAGAGAACCCCTGGAAATAAATATGTAGACCAGTGATAACCCTACAGAGAACCCCCGAAATAAATATGTAGACCAGTGATAACCCTACAGAGAACCCCTGGAAATAAATATGTAGACCAGTGATAACCCTACAAAGAACCCCTGGAAATAAATATGTAGACCAGTGATAACCCTACAGAGAACCCCTGGAAATAAATATGTAGACCAGCGATAACCCTACAGAGAACCCCTGGAAATAAATATGTAGACCAGATAACCCTACAGAGAACCCCCGGAAATAAATATGTAGACCAGTGATAACCCTACAGAGAACCCCCGAAATAATATGTAGACCAGTGATAACCCTACAGAGAACCCCTGGAAATAAATATGTAGACCAGTGATAACCCCACAGAGAACCCCCGGAAATAAATATGTAGACCAGTGATAACCCTACAGAGAACCCCTGGAAATAAATATGTAGACCAGTGATAACCTACAGAGAACCTCTAGAAATAAATATATAGACCAGCGATAACCCCACAGAGAACCCCCGGAAATAAATATGTAGACCAGTGATAACCCTACAGAGAACCCCTGGAAATAAATATGTAGACCAGTGATAACCCTACAGAGAACCCTGGAAATAAATACAAAGACCAGTGATACCCTACAGAGAACCCCGGAAATAAATCCAAAGACCAGTGATACCCTACAGAGAACCCCTGGAAATAAATATAAAGACCAGTGATAACCCCACAGAGAACCCCCGAAAATAAATCCAAAGACCAGTGGTAACCCTAGAGAACCCCTGTAATACAGATAAAATGACCGTTGATGACCCCACAGAGATCCCTTATTTCTCAGGCTATGTGGTTGGGAAGAGCACTACTTACCATCAACTGCCACCAGGACAGCAGTGCGGCCTTTCTTCTCGTGTTCAGTCATCAGAAGATCAGTGTCACTCTTCATGGTCAGGAAGTTCCGGTTCATCCATTCACGGTTCCCAATCAGCACCGAGTACACTGAAGACATGGAGGAAGCTGCACAGAAGAATGTAGATGGTTATATACTGACACCAAAGATGGCGAAATGCCAAGGACTTTATAGCTGCACATTATAATATAGAACTATGCATGCACTTTACATGTAGTCTGGGGTCCTATACAGTATAAATGATGGGTCCTTACATGTAGACTGGGGCTCTATGAAGGGGTAAAAGTTGGAGTCCTCCTGCAATCCATCGATTTGGACTAACAAGGCATTTTTGTTGTTCTTGCTGGTTGTCTGGTTGGTGCTTCTCAGCAGTTGGTCAATATTACTGACTTTGCAGCTGACCCCACATCCAGGCACAGCCTGAAATTCCGAACAGGTACCCAGTGTCTCCACATTGAGGACCTATGTTGACAAACAAGACATGGAAACAATTCAGAGACACAGAACTGAACAATGAGACAGCAAGTTGTCTGGTTTGCACAAACTGTGAATGTCAAGGTGAATGTGAATGCCATGGTGACACAAGACCTATGGTGACCCATGGTGAGACCACAAGACCTATGGTGACCCATGGTGAGACCACAAGACCAATGGTGACCCACGGTGACCACAAGACCAATGGTGAGACCACAAGACCAATGGTGACCCAGGTGAGAGCACAAGTCCAATGGTGACCCATGGCAAGAATAATGCTGAGACCACAAGATCAATGGTGACCCATGGTGAGACCACAAGACCAATGGTGACCCATGGTGAGACCAATGTTGACCCATGGTGAGACCACAAGACCAATGGTGACCCATGGTGAGACCTCAAGACCAATGGTGACCCATGGTGAGACCTCAAGACCAATGGTGACCCATGGTGAGATTAATGGTGACCCATGGTGAGACCACAAGAATAATGTTGAGACCACAAGACCAATGGTGACCCATGGTGAGACCAATGGTGACCCATGGTGAGAGCACAAGTCCAATGGTGACCCATGGGAAACCACAAGAATAATGCTGAGACCACAAGATCAATGGTGACCCATGGTGAGACCACAAGACCAATGGTGACCCATGGTGAGAGCACAAGTCCAATGGTGACCCATGGTGAGACCACAAGATCAATGGTGACCCATAGTGAGACCACAAGACCAATGGTGACCCACGGTGAGACCACAAGACCAATGGTGAGACCACAAGACCAATGGTGACCCATGGTGAGAGCACAAGTCCAATGGTGACCCATGGGAAACCACAAGAATAATGCTGAGACCACAAGATCAATGGTGACCCATGGTGAGACCACAAGACCAATGATGACCCATGGTGAGACCAATGTTGACCCATGGTGAGACCACAAGACCAATGGTGACCCATGGTGAGACCTCAAGACCAATGGTGACCCATGGTGAGACTAATGGTGACCCATAGTGAGACCACAAGAATAATGTTGAGACCACAAGACCAATGGTGACCCATGGTGAGACCAATGGTGACCCATGGTGAGAGCACAAGTCCAATGGTGACCCATGGGAAACCACAAGAATAATGCTGAGACCACAAGATCAATGGTGACCCATGGTGAGACCTCAAGACCAATGGTGACCCATGGTGAGACCAATGGTGACCAATGGTGACCCATGGTGAGACCACAAGACCAATGGTGACCCATGGTGAGACCAATGGTGACCCATGGTGAGACTAAATGGTGACCCATGGTGAGACCACAAGACCAATGGTGACTCATGGTGAGACCACAAGACCAATGGTGACCCATGGTGAGACCACAAGATCAATGGTGACCCATGGTGAGACCTCAAGACCAATGGTGACCCATGGTGAGACCACAAGACCAATGGTGACCCATGGTGAGACCACAAGACCAATGGTGACCCATGGTGAGACCACAAGATCAATGGTGACCCATGGTGAGACCACAAGACCAATGGTGACCCATGGTGAGACCACAAGACCAATGGTGACCCATGGTGAGACCACAAGACCAATGGTGACCCATGGTGAGACCACAAGACCAATGGTGACCCATGGTGAGACCACAAGACCAATGGTGACTCATGGTGAGACCACAAGACCAATGGTGACCCATGGTGAGACCACAAGACCAATGGTGACCCATGGTGAGACCACAAGACCAATGGTGACCCATGGTGAGACCACAAGACCAATGGTGACCCATGGTAAGACCACAAGACCAATGGTAATCAATGGTGGGACCCCATAACCAATTGTGATACCACAGGACCAACGGTGAGTCATGGTCTGGGCCCTTAATTATGTTGGAACATCAGTTTTCCATGCTGGGAAATTGGTGCTGGTAATTTTTGATCCAAACACAAACTGCTCATTGGGCAATATTAGAAATAGACGAAGCCATCTTATTCCTCTGTGACCAATCGGCACATAACTGGTGGTATGATTTCTATGGTTACCTCTTTACAATACTTGGTGACGGCTGAGCCAAGAGGATGCTCACTGTTGCTCTCTGCAGTTCCCACAATGGCCAGCAGCTTATTAGTTGGCATCCTGTTGCTTTCCACCAACACCTTCAGCTGCATGACGACTGGAGATCCATGAGTGATCGTCCCGGTCTTATCGAACACCACCGTCCTCACCTGAACACACAAGGACACCCGGGTATTACTTCATACCCCACATGACCAATGACTGAACGCAGAACAGGAAACTAAACAAGTCCCAACTCCAGACACCATGTGATGCAAAGTCTAATAAAACAAAGACGTCCTTCACCTCCCCTGACTGAGCCAAGTCCTCCTCCATTGGTGTCTCCCCCCTCCCCTCCCACAGACACTGCAGCTCGCAGTGGGATTAGACCAGTCTGACCAGCTGTTGATGGAGGCTTGTGAATGAGCAATGACAATCTGATAGCCACACCCTCTGCAGCATCTTCTCCTCCCACCAAAATACAAGCAGGCACCGCCCATATGAGAGTGACAACTCTGCTCTGAATTCAGGAGTAACGTAGCACTGTTGTCACCCCATCACAGGAAGCTGCATTAGGTGAACTTCATCAGCAGGATCAACAGGTATTTTTAGGAGTTTTCAGAGGGAACTAAGAGAAAACTGCAACTGCCCCGTCATAGGAGGCCACAGTTCTGCTTCATTCTCGCCTGCAACAAACCAAAAGATGTGAAGGGATGTGCATCACACCCTACAGCATGGGAACGGCCTGAAAACGCACGTGCAGAAATGTGCAGAAATGTGCAGAAATGTGCAGTGTTATACGTGTTGTATTTATATGCACTAGACCCCACGTGATTGGGGTCACTTGTGGGACTTGCCAAGCGATTTTGGACCACATGTTTTCCAATGATAACCATTCATATATGTGCGACTTAACCCCTTCCAGTCCGGACACTTTCCTCCTCCCCTTCCAGTCCGGACGCTTCCTCCCCCTTCCAGACCAGACACAATTCCCCCCTTCCAGTCCGGACGCTTCCTCCCCCTTCCAGACCAGACAATTCCCCCCCTTCCAGACCAGACACTTCCTCCCCCTTCCAGTCCAGACACTTCCTCCCCCTTCCAGACCAGACACTTCCTCCCCCTTCCAGTCCGGACACTTCCCCCCCTTCCAGACCAGACACTTCCTCCCCCTTCCAGTCCGGACGCTTCCTCCCCCTTCCAGTCCGGACGCTTCCTCCCCCTTCCTGTCCGGACGCTTCCTCCCCCTTCCTGTCCGGACGCTTCCTCCCCCTTCCTGTCCGGACGCTTCCTCCCCCTTCCAGTCCGGACGCTTCCTCCCCCTTCCAGTCCGGACGCTTCCTCCCCCTTCCAGTCCGGACGCTTCCTCCCCCTTCCAGACCAGGACGCTTCCTCCCCCTTCCAGACCAGACACTTCCTCCCCCTTCCAGACCAGACACTTCCCCCCCTTCCAGACCAGACACTTTCCCCCCCTTCCAGACCCCCCCCCCCTCCAGACCAGACACTTTCCCCCCCTTCCAGACCAGACACTTTCCCCCCCTTCCAGACCAGACACTTTCCCCCCCTTCCAGACCAGACACTTTCCCCCCCTTCCAGACCAGACACTTTCCCCCCCTTCCAGACCAGACACTTTCCCCCCCTTCCAGACCGGACCGGACAATTCCCCCCCCTTCCAGTCCCGGACGCTTCCCCCCCTTCCAGACCGGACAATTCCCCCCCTTCCAGTCCGGACGCTTTCCCCCCCTTCCAGTCCGGACGCTTTCCCCCCCTTCCAGTCCGGACGCTTTCCCCCCCCCTTCCAGTCCGGACGCTTTCCCCCCCTTCCAGTCCGGACGCTTTCCCCCCCCTCCAGTCCGGACGCTTTCCCCCCTTCCAGTCCGGACGCTTTTCCCCCCTTCCAGTCCGGACGCTTTTCCCCCCTTCCAGTCCGGACGCTTTTCCCCCCTTCCAGTCCGGACGCTTTTCCCCCCTTCCAGTCCGGACGCTTTCCCCCCTTCCAGTCCGGACGCTTTCCCCCCCTTCCAGTCCGGACGCTTTCCCCCCCTTCCAGTCCGGACGCTTTCCCCCCCTTCCAGTCCGGACGCTTTCCCCCCCTTCCAGTCCGGACGCTTTCCAGTCTTCCAGTCCGGACGCTTTCCCCCCCTTCCAGTCCGGACGCTTTCCCCCCCTTCCAGTCCGGACGCTTTCCCCCCCTTCCAGTCCGGACGCTCCCCCCCCTTCCAGTCCGGACACTTTCCCCCCCTTCCAGTCCGGACGCTTTCCCCCCCTTCCAGTCCGGACGCTTTCCCCCCCCTTCCAGTCCGGACGCTTTCCCCCCCTTCCAGTCCGGACACTTTCCCCCCCTTCCAGTCCGGACGCTTTCCCCCCCTTCCAGTCCGGACGCTTTCCCCCCCTTCCAGTCCGGACGCTTTCCCCCCCTTCCAGTCCGGACGCTTTCCCCCCCCTTCCAGTCCGGACGCTTTCCCCCCCTTCCAGTCCGGACGCTTTCCCCCCCTTCCAGTCCGGACACTTTCCCCCCCCCCCTTCCAGTCCGGACACTCCATTGTCCCATCTCAGTGCGGCTCCTGTCTCCATACACCCCAAAGAGGGCGGCACAGCATTTCTCAGGGCGAGTTTCCTGATGGAGGCAACAGTGGGCCACGTCTGTGTAATGCGTGTTGAAGCGGCCACTTGTAGTCTCCATGGGAAGCCCATGTGACAGGGTGACAACACAGGAGCACAGTTGGGAGACAGGGACAGAACGTTGTCACCCTACAACAGGAAGTGACCTCCATGTCAGGATCACCTATAATGAAGGCTTCAGATTTAAGACGACTGAAAATGACATTTGAAATGACGTCATCATGTTGAAGCTTCTCTGGGATTTTATGGATTGGGTCACAGTGATGTCACACTTCACTTCCCGGTCAGGGACTCAGAAAAGTCACAGCCAGGAAATCTGCATTTCCAGAAGGCCGCCATATTCCTCTGATCACAGGTAATGGATGAAGTGAAAACATGTGGAATCTTCCCATTGAACTCACCTTGTGCGCCATCTCCAGAGGTTCTCCACCTTTAATCAGGATGCCGTTCTGAGCGCCAACTCCAGTCCCAACCATGACGGCTGTTGGGGTTGCCAGGCCCAGAGAGCAGGGGCAGGCGATGCATAAAACGGTGATGGCAGCTTGGAAGGCGAAGCGGATGATGACTTCTCCTTGTGAAATGCTTTTGTTGTAACCCTACAGAGAGGAGCGAAAACAGAAGACGGATCATTCGGACTTCTCTACGGACATTATCCCGGGAAACACGAAGACCTTCACACAAATGACGTCACCTGTACAGAGTATCGGACAAAGAAGACTGCAAAAATGGGACTTTCCTATTTCCAGGAAAATCCGTTTCTTGGGCGTTCATGGAGGAACATGGGAATGATACTGCCCCCTACAGGAGGAATGGACACAACAAAACAACTCCCAGCATGCCTCAGTGTGTGGAAAAGCAGAACCATAAACACAGAGGGGAGGACTTCTGTCCCACAATGGACTACAAGAAAAGGATTTTATGGTGAGTAGCAAATCCTATATTCTTACTCACCCAACAAGAGACACAGAAATGTGAGGACATCAAAAGGAAGTCCAACTAAGGACTGGGCAACACAACTTAAACAGACCCACAAACAACAGAACTGGGGGCCACCTGCAGCTCAAAGAGCCACCTGGAGGACCTTACACCCAACACTGGCATCAGATGAGGTCTGAACATCCCACCTGGTAGAACTTGGAGAACATGGGAACAGAGGACCAGGAGGAAGGCTTATTAATTTGGGAAGGAGCTGCCTGGAGGACCTTACACCCAACATTGGCATCAGATGAGGCCTGAACATCCACCTGGTAGAACTTGGAGAACATGGGAACAGAGGACCAGGTGGAAGGCTTATTAATTTGGGAAGGAGCTGCCTGAAGGACCTTACACCCAACATTGGCATCAGATGAGGCCTGAACATCCACCTGGTAGAACTTGGAGAACATGGGAACAGAGGACCAGGTGGAAGGCAGGCTTATTAATCTGAGAAGGAGCTGCCTGAAGGACCTTACACCCAACATTGGCATCAGATGAGGCCTGACCATCCACCTGGTAGAATTTAGAGAACTTGGGAACAGAGGACCAGGTGGAAGGCTTATTAATCTGAGAAGGAGCTGCCTGAAGGACCTTACACCCAACATTGGCATCAGATGAGGCCTGACCATCCACCTGGTAGAATTTAGAGAACTTGGGAACAGAGGACCAGGTGGAAGGCTTATTAATCTGAGAAGGAGCTGCCTGAAGGACCTTACACCCAACATTGGCATCAGATGAGGCCTGAACATCCACCTGGTAGAATTTAGAGAACTTGGGAACACAGGACCAGGTGAAAGGATTATTAGGGAAGGAATTTTAGGTACAAAAGGTGATTTTTGTAGAGCAAAAAGAACCAAATTCAGATCCCATAAAGACGGGGGAGTACACAAGGGAAGCTACATGGGGGACACCCTGTAAAAAGGTCCTAATCAGAGAATGGGAGGCCAGTGGAACAAGATCACAAGCTTTACAACCTGTCCATTGATGGTGCCAAGAGCAACCTCGGATCCAGACCCAGCTCCAAGGCCATGACTCTTTCCTAGGATGAACCCCCCCTACCCTCACACCAAGAGAAATGTGCCTTCCATGTGCGGTGGTATATCCTGGAGGGAAGTAGACCATGATTGAAGAAAGAACGTCTAGCTAAAAGGGTGGAATTTTCTCAGTCGAGCTAAGGTGGTCATCCTCCTGGACATTAACTAAAAACAGAGGCATGCTGGGAGTAAGGGGTGTTATACTGTGTTGGCCCACAGGCCAGGCTGTGTGGGGTGGGGGAGGCCGGGCTGCGTGGGGTGGGGGATCCGGGCTGTATGGGGTGGGGGGCCGGGCTGCGTGGGGTGGGGGATCCGGGCTGTATGGGGTGGGGGGCCGGGCTGTGTGGGGTGAGCTCCCTGATTAAACAAAGCATTGAGTGGGTGCCTGGCTGCTGATTCGCTGTTAGATGACTGTTAGCTGTTGGTTGTATTGAGTACCTTTTGCATTGTTTAGGATGATGTGATCAGGCTCTTACCCAATCAGTGTGGAATGTTCATTCCAATGTATAATATTTGTGGGCACCGCCCCTATTTCTGAGTGCATAAAAATCTGCTTCTGTTCAACAAAGAGTTCCAGTTTTGGCTTCTAAGCTCGTCTTGTCTAGTCTTGGGTGCAATGCCTGGCTAGAATACCTCGGTCCCGGGTCCCTGGGGCGAGGAAACGGTTCTCTAAAGGAAGGCACAAGTTGGGTGTCAGGAGTTCCGTCACCCCGGGGTGGGGGCTGGGATTGACGGGAGCGACAGCGGCAGTGATTCTGACAAACGAGTGACTGCTGGGCCCCGGGGGCTGGGTGACCTTGTCCCTGATCTTATGTATTTCCTGTGTGTGCTGCTCCCAACGGATGGAACTTACCGGAAAATATTGCTCTACAATCTCAAAGTTGTGATATCCAATAATAATCCAGGAAAGCAGTGTGAGGACCGACACCAGGACGATGAACGGGACGAAATACCCGCTCAGCTTATCGGCAAATTGCTGGATGGGAGCCTGGGGACACAAAATGTACAATTACAGCCGAATCCCCATCCTGGGGACACAAAATGTACAATTACAGCCGATCCCCCATCCTGGGGACACAAAATGTACAATTACAGCCGAATCCCCATCCTGGGGACACAAAATGTACAATTACAGTGAGAATCCCCATCCTGGGGACACAAAATGTACAATTACAGCAGAATCCCCATCCTGGGGACACCTGTACAATTACAGCAGAATCCCCATCCTGGGGACACAAAATGTACAATTACAGCCGAATCCCCAATGGGGACACAAAATGTACAATTACAGCCGAATCCCCATCCTGGGGACACAAAATGTACAATTACAGCCGATTCCCCACAGAACATGAAATAGTACGGCCGATTCCCCATCCTGGGGACACAAAATGTACAATTACAGCCGAATCCCATCCTGGGGACACAAAATGTACAATTACAGCCGAATCCCCATCCTGGGGACACAAAAACGAATTACGGTTCCCCAACAATGGAATTGCAGCCGTTCGCCCCCTGGGGACACAAAGAAACGATCGGTCTAACAATGGAATGAATTCGCAAAATGTACAATTACAGCCGAAACGATCGGTCCTGGGGACACAATGTTACAATTGCAGCCGATTCCCCATCCTGGGGACACAGTACAATTACAGCCGATTGGTCCTGGGGACAACAAAATGGAAATTACAGCCGAATCCCCCATCCTGGGGACACGATTACGGTTAAACCATGGAACAAAATGTACAATCAGCCGAATCCCCATCACACAAAATGTACACAATTGCAGTCCGAATCCCCCTAATGGGGGACACAAAATCTACAATTGCAAGCCGAATTTCCCCATCCTGGGGACACAAAAAAACGTACAATTGCAATGTTCCCCAACACAATTGCAGAAACGGGGACACAAAATGTACAATTGCAGCCGATTCCCATGGGGACAAAAATGTTTACAGCCCCCACACAGAAACGATCAGTCTAGACAATGGTATTTGCTCCCCCCTGATGAATGTTCGCCCCTCACACAGAAATGATCGGTCTAACAATGGAATGTTCGCCCCTCACACAGAAATGATCGGTCTAACAATGGAATGTTCGCCCCCTCACACAGAAATGATCGGTCTAACAATGGAATGTTCGCCCCTCACACAGAAATGATCGGTCTAACAATGGAATGTTCGCGCCCCTCACACAGAAACGATCGGTCTAACAATGGAATGTTCGCCCCTCACACAGAAACGATCGGTCTAACAATGGAATGTTCGCCCCTCACACAGAAACGATCGGTCTAACAATGGAATGTTCGCCCCTCACACAGAAATGATCGGTCTAACAATGGAATGTTCGGTGTAACACTGAGAGACAGAATACAACAACAAATTCAGCAGAAATGTGTCTAACAAATGATGACGGATCTGCATGTTCATGAGGGAAAGAAGGATTTGATCCCTATCATTCAGCAGGATTTCTGGCTCCCAGGTGTCTCTCATACAGGTAACAAGCTGAGATTAGAAGAAGTCTCTTAAAGGGAGTGCTGCTAATCTCATTGTGTTACCTGTATAAAAGACACCTGTCCACAGGAGCCATCAAACCATCAGATTCCAAACTCTCCACCATGGCAAAGACCAAAGAGCTGTCCAAGGATGTCAGGGACAAGATGGTAGACCTACACAAGGCTGGACTGGGCTACCAAACTATGGCCAAGCAGCTTGGTGAGAAGGTGACAACAGTTGGTGCAATCATTCACAAATGGAAGAAACACAAAACAAGTGTCAGTCTCCCTAGGTCTGGTGCACCATGCAAGATCTCACCTCGTGGGGTGTCAATGATCATGAGAACAGTGAGGAATCATCCCAGAACTACACGTGAGGATCTTGTCAATGATCTCCAGGCAGCTGGGACCACAGTCACCAAGAAAACAATTGGTAACACACTACGCCGACAAGGACTGAAATCCTGCAGTGCCCGCACGGTCCCTCTGCTCAAGAAAGCACATGTCCAGGCCCGTCTGAAGTCTGCCACTGAACATCTGAATGATGCAGAGGAGGACTGGTGGGAAGTGTTGTGGTCAGAGGAGACCAAAATCCAGCTCTTTGGCATCAACTCAACTCGCCGTGTTTGGAGGAGGAGGAATGCTGCCTATGACCCCAAAACACCATCCCAACTGTGAAACATGGTGGTGGAAACATTCTGCTTTGGGGGTGTTTTTCTGCTACGGGGACAGGACAACTGCACCGCATCAAAGGGACGATGGATGGGGACCTTCTTCCCTCAGCCACGGCATTGAAAATGGGTGGTGGATGGGTGTTCCAGCATGACAATGACCCAAAACACACGGCCAAGGCAACAAAGGAGCGGCTCAAGAAGAAGCACATTAAGGTCCCGGAGTGGCCTAGCCAGTCTCCACACCTTCATCCAATTGAAAATCTGTGGAGGAGCTGAAAGTTCGATTTGCCAAACGTTAGCCACCAAACCTTAATGACTTGGAGAGGATCTGCCAAGAGGAGTGGGCCAAAATCCCTCCTGAGATGTGTGTGAACCTGGGGGCCAACTCCAGGAAATGTCTGACCTCTGTGATTGCCAACAAGGGATTTGCCACCAAGTACTAAGTCATGTTTTGTGAAGGGGATCAAATCCTTCTTTCCCTCATGAACATGCAGATCCGTCATCATTTGTTAAGACGCATTTCTGCTGAATTTGTTGTTGTATTCTGTCTCTCAGTGTTACACCGAACATTCCATTGTTAGACCGATCGTTTCTGTGTGAGGGGCGAACATTCCATTGTTAGACCGATCATTTCTGTGTGAGGGGGAACATTCACCATCAGAGGGAGCAAATACACATTTCCTGCACTGTACAATTGCAGCCGATTCCCCATCCTGGATCCTCAAAATACATCCTGAGGAACACCGCTCCCTACAGGCAGTATGAAGAACACCTCCCTACAGGCAGTATGAAGAACACCGCTCCCTACAGGCAGTATGAACAACACCGCTCCCTACAGGCAGTATGAAGAACGCCGCTCCCTACAGGCAGTATGAAGAACACCTCCCTACACCCAGTATGAAGAACACCGCTCCCTACAGGCAGTATGCAGAATTCTTCGGTCACCTTGGACGTCTGGGCCTCTTCCACCAGTTTGACGATCTGGGAGAGGGTGGTGTCAGAGCCGACGTGAGTGGCGGAGATCAGTAGGGAGCCGTTCTGGTTGATGGATCCGGCAATGACGCTGCTTCCTGGTTTCTTGGTGACCGGCATGGCTTCCCCTAGGAATGAAATCATCATCAATATCACGGAACTCCTCCATTCACCAACATAGCAGATATCCCGGGACGTCCCCTCAGCTCATCCCGATTCCAGGAATCCCTCCAGGGCGCCCCCCCTCTGTCCTATCACTTCCCTCTACATACATCTGCTCATTCCCCATCATTCAGTGCTGTCACCCTAGTTACCCCCAGACGCCGCCTCTATGCCTAGCCCTAGTTACCCCCACACGCCGCCTCTACGCCTAGCCCTCGTTACCCCCACACGCCGCCTCTACGCCTAGCCCTAGTTACCCCCACACGCCGCCTCTACTCTAGCCCTAGTTACCCCCACACACCGCCTCTACGCCTAACCCAAGTTACCCCACACACCGCCTCTACGCCTAGCCCTAGTTACCCCACACACACCGCCTCTACGCCTAGCCCTAGTTACCCCCACACACCGCCTCTACGCCTAGCCCTAGTTACCCCCCCACACGCCGCCTCTACGCCTAGCCCTAGTTACCCCCACACGCCGCCTCTACTCCTAGCCCTAGTTACCCCACACGCCGCCTCTACGCCTAGCCCTAGTTACCCCCACACGCCGCCTCTACTCCTAGCCCTAGTTACCCCCACACGCCGCCTCTACGCCTAGCCCTCGTTACCCCACACGCCGCCTCTACGCCTAGCCCTAGTTACCCCCACACGCCGCCTCTACGCCTAGCCCTAGTTACCCCCACACGCCGCCTCTACGCCTAGCCCCTAGTTACCCCCACACACCGCCTCTACGCCTAACCCAAGTTACCCCACACACCGCCTCTACGCCTAGCCCTAGTTACCCCCACACGCCGCCTCTACGCCTAGCCCTAGTTACCCCCAGACGCCGCCTCTACGCCTAGCCCTAGTTACCCCCCCACGCGCCGCCTCTACGCCTAGCCCTAGTTACCCCCCCCCCACGCGCCGCCTCTACGCCTAGCCCTAGTTACCCCCCCCCCACACGCCGCCTCTACGCCTAGCCCTAGTTACCCCCAGACGCCGCCTCTATGCCTAGCCCTAGTTACCCCCACACACCGCCTCTACTCCTAGCCCTAGTTACCCCCACACACCGCCTCTACGCCTAGCCCTAGTTACCCCCACACACCGCCTCTACGCCTAGCCCTAGTTTTCCCCAGATGCCGCCTCTACGCCTAGCCCTAGTTACCCCCCCACACCGCCTCTACGCCTAGCCCTAGTTACCCCCCCACACCGCCTCTACGCCTAGCCCTAGTTACCCCCACACACCGCTCTATTCCTAGCCCTAGTTACCCCCACACACCGCCTCTATGCCTAGCCCTAGTTACCCCCACACACCGCCTCTATTCCTAGCCCTAGTTACCCCCACACACTTGCCTCTACGCCTAGCCCTAGTTACCCCCACACACCGCCTCTACGCCTAGCCCTAGTTACCCCCACACACCGCCTCTATTCCTAGCCCTAGTTACCCCCACACACCGCCTCTATGCCTAACCAAGTTACCCCCACACACCGCCTCTATGCCTAGCCCTAGTTACCCCCACACACCGCCTCTATGCCTAGCCCTAGTTACCCCACACACTGCCTCTATGCCTAGCCCTAGTTACCCCCACACACCGCCTCTATGCCTAGCCCTAGTTACCCCCACACACCGCCTCTACGCCTAGCCCTAGTTACCCCCACACACCGCCTCTACGCCTAGCCCTAGTTACCCCCACCACACACCGCCTCTACGCCTAGCCCTAGTTACCCCCACACACCGCCTCTATTCCTAGCCCTAGTTACCCCCACACGCCGCCTCTACGCCTAGCCCTAGTTACCCCCACACACCGCCTCTATGCCTAGCCCTAGTTACCCCCCCCCACACACCGCCTCTACGCCTAGCCCTAGTTACCCCCACACACCGCCTCTACGCCTAGCCCTAGTTACCCCCACACACCGCCTCTACGCCTAGCCCTAGTTACCCCCACACACCGCCTCTACGCCTAGCCCTAGTTACCCCCACACACGCCTCTACGCCTAGCCCTAGTTACCCCCACACACCCGCCTCTATTCCTAGCCCTAGTTACCCCCACGCCCGCCTCTACGCCTAGCCCTAGTTACCCCCACACACCGCCTCTATTCCTAGCCCTAGTTACCCCCACACACCGCCTCTATTGCCTGCTGGCCATGTTACCTCAGACAGTCAGGAATATCAGGAGACCTACCTGTGATCAGAGACTCATCCACCATAGAATGACCTTCAATCACCCGTCCGTCCACCGGAAACTTCCCACCGGGGGTCACCTTCACAATATCTCCTCGCTGCACCAACTCCACGTCCACCGCCACTTCGCTGCAAACACAACATTACCTTACCCTTCAGAGACACAGAAATGAACGTTGTCCCTAAATAATGCGATAAGATTCATCATAAATAATAAAGTGTTCCTCTTCATGTCCTCGATGTTCTTTGCAGCACAAGATTTAGAGGAGGAGAGCCATACCAGAGAGTCCAATCATCTTCATGTCACTGAAGAGAGCCGACATGTTCCAGGGGTTCTAGGGACCTTCATCGGGGCTGAAACTGGTGAACGTGTATTGGCTTGCCTCTGGACTTCCAGAAATACAGAATGAGTGAGAGGGAGGGAGCCGGCTTCAGCAGAAGGATTGGACCAATCATAGTCCGGGGTTACTCCATTATAGACAGTATATGATGAGGGGGCCCCTAGGACCCCCGAATAGTGTCTGTTTGTTTCTTATGGATATACTATAAGGAAATAAAAACCTTCGCTCTCACCCAATGGCGTGGCTCTCTTTCACTCCTAAATCTTTAGGATTTGGTCTGCAATACCTGGGAGTAACTGAACCCGAGTCCCAGCGCTCCACTTTATATATTCCACTGCAGTCCAGTCTGGATCCGGCACCTCCAACCCTTTCCTTCTTAGATAAAACAGGACATTTGGGTGCCAAAAATGAACAACTCCTCTCCAATTCATCTAGGTATGGAAAACAGAGAAACCCTAATGCGGGCCATAGATGGAATGAAAAACGGCCGAAAATCCGCCCAAAAAAAAAAAAAAAAAAATAAAAAATCGGCCGATTTTCAGATCGTTAGTGCGGTAATCGGTCAGCCATTTTTAGTGATTTTTGCCGTTTTGGATTATCGGTCCTGCTGGAAAATAATCGGCCAAATTTGTCTTTCAGCCGATTTTCACGGCAATGATGGACAAATCTTCCGATCTTTTTCCGATTTTAAAAAATGCGCATGAGCTGTGACATGAAAGAAGAAGGAAAAGAAGAAAAGGAAAAAAATTGAATATGAATGAGAAGAAGAAATAGCAAATGAATAAAAAGAAGAAATAGAATATAAAGAAGAAGAAGAAATAGAAGAAATGGAATATGAAGAAGTAGAAAAAGAAGACATAGAATATGAAGAAGAAGAAAGAAATAAATATGAAGAAGAGGAAGAAATAGAATATGAAGAAGAAGAAGAAATAGAATATGAATAGAAGGAGAAATAGAATATGAAGAAGTAGAAAAAGAAGAAATAGAATATGAAGAAGAGGAAGAAAAGAAGAAATAGAATATGCAGAAGGAGAAGAAAAGAAATAGAATATGAAGAAGAAGAAAAAGAAGAAATAGAATACGCAGAAGAAGAAGAAAAAAAGAAATAGAATATGAAGAGGACGAAAAGGAAGAAAATAGAATATGAAGAAGAAGCAAAAGAAGAAATAGAATATGAAGAAGAAAAAGAAGAAATAGAATACGCAGAAGAAGAAGAAAAGAAATAGAATATGAAGAAGAAGAAAAGGAAGAAATAGAATATGAAGAAGAAGAAGAAAAGAATATGAAGAAGAAGAAGAAATAGAATATGAAGAAGAAGAAAAAGAATAAATAGAATATGAAGAAGGAGAAAAAAAGAAGAAAAAGAATATGAAGAAGAAGAGAAAAAAGAACAAATAGAATATGAAGAATAAAAAGAAGAAATAGAATATGAAGAAGAAGAAAAAAAAAAGAAACAGATTATAAAGAAGAAAAAAAAAAAAGAATTTCAGTCCGATATTATATTTGACATTTACAAGTATAGCAACATTGTATCTATTTGTATCCGAATAGAACCATCTGTATCCCAAATGGATACAAATATATACAATGTTGCAACTTTTTCTTCTTCTTCTTCTTCTATTTCTTCTGCATATTCTATATAATTGCCGGCTGTAGACGGGACGAAATTCAGCCGACTTTTTTTTTTACCAATGGTGGTAACGTCGGCTGATTGAACGACCGATTTGCCGTTTTTCTAAAAAAAAAAAACGTCCGGTTTTCTCCCCGTCTATGGCCTGCATTAGAAAGTGCCGCAATAGGAGGAAGGGGGTGACTATTGTCCTCTTACCCCCCGAGGATGGGGGAGTTTGGGGAACATGTACATAAAATGCAGAAATGACCCCGCACCTCATAGTGCCGACTTATTAGCACCAATTTCACTCTCTGATTGGACGCTGACCGTACAGGTTTATTATTAGGCCCCATGCATGCTGGGTATTTGGTTTGGGGCTCGGGTGATTAGCTGTGAGGGGAGGGCACATGTGCTCCGTCCTGCCCCCCCGGCTGGCAGTCGTCTCTCTATGAATGGGGCCATTCATCCTTGGGGCATAGTGACCGGAAGGTTTGTATAGCCGGGTGTCCTGGGCAGCCACTGCAGCTGTCAGCCTTTCCTGGAGATTGGCAGGCTGTAGGCAGAGGGCGGGATGAGACTCCTACGGGGCCAAAGCTGAAATCTGAGCTGCACAAATACCATCTAAATCCATCGGTCACGTGTCTTCTTCTGGAATCTTCTTCCAGATCTGTGCAGTCATGCAGGGTGAGACTTCCTGGAATACAGACCGCTCACTGCTGCCCTCTCTCATTGTGCAGGGGGACTGGATATGTCTCCGTGCCCCCCTGTGGTGGGTGGAGCCTGCTGGGCCCCTCCCACAGCTCTGCTCTCTGTCCTTGTGCAGGGTGCCTGGTCTTGTCTCCGCCCCCTCCTGTAGTGGGTGGAACCTGCTAGGGCCCCTCCCACAGCACTGCTCTCTCTCCTTGTGCATGGTGCCTGGTCTTGTCTCTGCCCCCTCCTGTAGTGGGTGGAACCTGCTAGGCCCCTCCCACAGCACTGCTCTCTCTCCTTGTGCATGGTGCCTGGTCTTGTCTCCGCCCCCTCCTGTAGTGGGTGGAACCTGCTGAGACCCTCCCACAGGTCTGCTCTCTCTCATTGTGCAGGGGGACTGGATATGTCTCCGCGCCTGCTGTAGTGGGTGGAGCCTGCTGGGCCCCCCACAGCTCTGCTGTATTGTGCAGGGGGACTGGATATGTCTCCGCTGCCCTCCTGTAGTGGGTGGAGCCTGCTGGGCCCCTCCCAAAGCTCTGCTCTCTCTCCTTGTGCAGGTTGCCTGGTCTTGTCTCCGCCCCCTCCTGTAGTGGATGGAGCCTGCTGGGCCCCTCCCACAGCTCTGCTCTCTCCTTGTGCATGGTGCCTGGTCTTGTCTCCGCCTCCTGCTGTAGTGGGTGGAGCCTGCTGGGCCCCTCCCAAAGCTGCTCTCTCTCCCTTGTGCAGGTTGCCTGGTCTTGTCTCCGCCCCCTCCTGTAGTGGGCGGAGCCTGCTGGGCCCCTCCCACAGCTCTGCTCTCTCCTTGTGCATGGTGCCTGGTCTTGTCTCCGCGCCCTCCTGTAGTGGGTGGAGCCTGCTGGGCCCCTCCCACAGTTCTGCTCTCTCCTTGTGCATGGTGCCTGGTCTTGTCTCCGCGCCCTCCTGTAGTGGATGGAGCCTGCTGGGCCCTTCCCACAGCTCTGCTCTCTCCTTGTGCAGGGTGCCTGGTCTTGTCTCCCCTCCTCCTGTAGTGGGTGGAGCCTGCTGGGCCCCTCCCAAAGCTCTGCTCTCTCTCCTTGTGCAGGTTGCCTGGTCTTGTCTCCGCCCCTCCTGTAGTGGGCGGAGCCTGCTGGGCCCCCTCCCACAGCTCTGCTCTTTCTCCTTGTTTAGGGTGTCTGGTCTTGTCTCCGCCTCCTCCTGTAGTGGGTGGAGCCTGCTGGGCCCTTCCCACAGCACTGCTCTCTCCTTGTGCAGGGTGCTTGGTCTTGTCTCCGCCCCCTCCTGCAGTGGGTGGAGCCTGCTGGGCCCCCAGTACATCAGGTGTAGACCAGTACTCTAGAACTTACCTGACAATAGAGTTGTCGGGTCCCAACGTGACGATTGTGGCCTCCGTGGCTTGCAGGGAGATCAGACGTGACAGAGCTTCCGAGGTTTTACTCTGAAAATATGTGAAAGAAATGTAAATGCCTCAACCGTCGTCCACACTGAACAGAGTCCTCCAATGGAGGTGACACCGGTACTACCAGCACGGAGCCCAACGTAACCCCAGTCACATGGCTCCTATGGCACATGAATACCTCTGTAAATGGGAGTGGAGCCTCCAAGAATTCCGCGTTCTGTCTTTCCACACCCAATATGATGACATCATACAGATGGAAACTCCACCTCTGACATCACTTCCTCCCCCAGAGACGGTGTCACCAGGACAAAGGATGAGGGTATGTCCTCCCATGGGGACACCAACAACACTCACATCATTATACTGTGATGGGTTATTCTGCCTCTATACCTCCAGACACAATGTGACCCCCTTATAAAAGTGACCCCCCCCTGAACCCCACACTGCATATAAAATCCAGGTGAGAGCACTGCCTCCTCTTGGACGTTCCTAGGTGACCCCGGCGTGTACATACAGTCATACAGGAAAATGGGGACAGATGTACTCCGTGTATATGACGGGTACGGAATTAACTGGACAGAATGTGGAACTAAACCCTCCAATCGTTTTCAGCCAAGGAAGCCGCCATCTTGGCCTCTGCTTGATCGGCAGTTACCATGGTGCTACACATGTGATCAGTTAGGACTCCAGCCATTGGATGGATCGACAGTTTTGTGGGGTAGCACAATGCA